ATATAACACACAGTGTGATGACTATAGTTAATGATATCATATTGCATATTTGAAAGTTGCTAAGAGAGTAAATCTTAAAAGTTCTCATCACACACAAAAAAATTTTTCACTATGTCTGCTGACAGATGGTAACTAGACTTACTGTGGTGATCATTTCTCAGTGTATACAAATGCTGAATTGTAATGTTGTACTCCTGAAGTTATATGTTATATAAGGTTATAAGATGTCAATTATGCCTCAGTAAAAACAAACAAATCCTTAAAACTAAGTAAGATCACCTGTGGTTTCATGAAAGATGGCCCCTATGCATTGGCTGCAGAGTGGTTATTTCTTCATTATAGGCTGATAACTGTTAGCTCAAAAGCCCGCTGGTGCCAAACTCAAACTTTACACATCCACTTCTTTTAAACAGAGCCCAAATAAGTAATTTTTAGACATTTAGGGTCCATCTGCTTTGCATACCTTCAGCATATACCCAGCATCTGCTGACCATTGATCCCAAGTCTTTTAAGTTATAAGACTCTTGTCCTTCAGAGCAGTCAGATCCAGAGACTCCACCTGGACACAAGAGGGCCTTCTCAAATTCCCCTTTCCTTGGGGGTTCCCTTGCCCTCCTCCTCTTCTGAGTACTCCCCATGGTGTTGCTTCTAGATAGATTCTCACTGTGAAAAAACATCCCCTTCCTTGCTAACCTGTCTGGGCAGAACCATCACTCAATAAAGCATGTGGGTACTACTGCCACCTCATGGTCATGTCTTTTTTGATCAGACCCCAGATCCCTCCAACACCTACACCTAGCAGTGTGTAGACAAAAAAAGGGAAAGGGTGCAACTGCTAAGCCTTGGAGTGCCACTGTTGTTCTAAACAATCACCTCAGAGAAGAGGAACGAGCAGCAGAGATGGGGGAAGAATAGCCAGAAAGATAGGAGGGAAACCAGAAAAGATAGTGTCCTAGAAGCCAAGTAAAAAAACTGTCGCAAGGAAAGAGGTCAACCATGTCAAATTCTGTCTGTAGGTCTAGAGGACCATTAAGGAGCTCTGGATTTCACTTTACATCTTTTGTTGCTGCTTGCTCCAAACCAGCTCTCTGCTGTGGTTGCTCCAAAGTGCTGCTCTCCTGGTTTCTTCACCCCCACAATTCCTCTCACCACTTCACTTAAATCCATGATCAGCATATCTCTTGGATGGCCACATAGCACGCATTTTAAGCTTTGAGGGCCACATGGTATCTGCAACAAATATTCAACTCTGCCCCATAGCACAAAAGCAGCCACCAACAGTACCGTTTTCCACTAAAACTTCAATTATGGGCACTGCAATTTGAATGTCATGTAAGTTTCATGTGTCACAAAATTATTTTTCTTACTTGTCCCCCCAACTATTTAAAAATGAAAGAAAATTCATTCCTACCTGCTGCCTGAAGATCCTGCCACTAATCAGCCTGCTTCTAGGGGCTGATAATTCTCGCCTTTGAAATTCTCCCCTTTCAGTATCCTTTGGGATACTGGCAGGTCTTGGCACACTCTCAATTACTGGGAACCACTCAGAACTAAGATGGTGGTTTAGATAATCACAAAGCCTTTTTTCTTTTGGGGGGGAGGGGCAGAGGAGAGAGACCGAATTTTAAGCAGGCTCCAGGCCCAGTGCAGAGCCTGATGCAAGGCTCTATCTTACAACCCTGAGATCACAACCTGAGCTGAAACAGTTGGATGCTTCACCAACTAGCCACCCAGGTTCCCGACAATCACAAAGGTTTGACAGACAACCAGGAGCTCAGACTGAGTTGATTGGTGAGGCTTATCTCCTGCACAAGATCAATTTGTCAAGACTGAGAGAGATTGCTGTCATATCTAATATGCAAGCACCAGTAGAGTGAAGAAAAAATAAACCAGATGAATATGTTCCAAACAAAAGAACAAGATAAATCTCCAGAAACAGATCTTTTTTTTTTAAATTTTTATTTATTTATGATAGTCTCACACACACACACACAGAGAGGCAGAGACACAGGCAGAGGGAGAAGCAGGCTCCATGCACCGGGAGCCCGACGTGGGATTCGATCCCGGGTCTCCAGGATCGCGCCCTGGGCCAAAGGCAGGCGCCAAACCGCTGCGCCACCCAGGGATCCCTAGAAACAGATCTTAATGAGACAGAGATAAGTGATTTATTTTATAGAGAGTTCAAAATGATGGTCATAAAAGTGCTCACCATGGTCAGATCATGAATGAAGTGAGAATTTCAAAAGACAGAAAATATAAGTACCACAAAGAAATCATTAAGCTAAATAATACAGTAAGTGAACTAAAATATTCAATATAGGGGTTCAACGGTAGATAGATCAGAGAGAAAAAAAGATCAATGAATTCAAAGACTGGGCAGTGGAAGTCATCCAATCAGAGGTGCAAAAAATTTAAAAAATGAACAAGAGTGAAGATAGCATAAAGGACTTATGAGACACCATCAAGTGGACAAACATATGCATTATCTGGGTCCCAGAAGGAAAAAGAAAGTGACAGAAAAGTTATTTAAAGAAATAATGGCTAAAAACTTCCCTAACCTGGAGAAAGAAACAGACATCCAGATCCAAGAAACCCAGAGTACCAAATAAGATGAACCTACACCAAGACACATTATAATTAAATTGTCAAAAATTAAAGACAAGGATACTCTTAAAAGGAGCCAGAGAAAAGCAACTTGTTACCTACGAGGAAACCCTTATAGGACTATCAGTGGGTTTTTCAAGAGGAAATTCTCCTCATCAGAAGGAAGTGGTATGATATTCAAAGTGCTGAAAAAAAAACCAAAAAACCAAAACTGCCAATCAACAATACTCAATGTAATTAAGAATGCTTGGAGTTGCCCTTCAGAAGGGAAGGAGAAATAGTTTTCCAGACAAACAAAAGCTGAAGAAGCTCATTACCACTAGACTGGCCTGACAGGAAATGTTGAAGGAAATTAATTAAGCTAAAATGGAAGCGACTAATCAGCTAATTGGTAGTAACCTGAAAACAGTATAAAACTCACTGATATAGTTAAATTCAGAACATTGTAATAGTGGTGGGTAAGTCACTTATAATTCCAGAATAAAGGTTAAAAGACAAAAGGATTAAAAATAACGATGCAGTAATTTGTTAATGGATATACAATATGAAAAAAATCAATTGTGAAATAAAATTCACAAAACACAGGAAAGGAGTATAAACATATAGATCTTTTGAGTATGGATATGTTATCTGAAGGAAACAAAATCAGTATCTTGAAGAGGTAACTACACTCCCGCATTCACTGTAACATTATTCACAATAGGCAAGATATGGAAACAACCTGTCAATGGATGAATGGATAAATATGTGGTAGCTATACACATGGAACATTATTCAGCCATGAGAAGAAAGGAAATCCTGCCACTTGTGACAACCTGGATACTTGAGAGCATTGTGCTATGTGAAATAAACCAGACAGAGAAAGACAATGTGTGACTTGTATGTAGAATCTAAAAAAACCAAATTCATAAAAACAGAGAGTAAAATGGTGGTTGACAGGGGCTGAGGGGGTGGGGTGGGTACTAAGGAGACACTGGTCGAAGAGTATAAATTTCCAGTTATAACATGAACAAGTTCTAGGAATCTAATATACAGCATGGTGACTATAGTTAACAATACTGCATCACATATTGAAGATATATGCTGAGAGTAGATCTTAAATGTTCTCACCACAAACATAAATGGTAATTATGTGATAGGATAGAGGTGTCAGCTAAGGCTATGGTGGTAATCACTTTGCAGTATATTAAGTGTATCAAAATAACATGTCATATACCTTAAACTTACACAATGTTGTTACTGGTTTTTAAAAAATATTTATTTTAGAGAGGGAGAAAGAGTACACACATGACTGGGAGCAGGGGCAGAGGGAAAGAATCTCAAGCAGACTCCCACTAAGTGCAGAGCCTGATGCGGAGCTCAATCTCAGGACCCTGAGATCATGACTTGAGCCAAAACCAAGAGTCAGATGTTCAACCGAGCCATCCAGGTGTCCCAATTTACACAATGTTACATGTCAATTATAATTTGACAAAGGTGGGGGGATATGCTTCACACAATATTAGTGTACCTCTAAGCTACAAAATCATCTAATTGGCACCACTGTATATTTCCAAGATCCTAACCCAGTAAAGAAATAAGGTGGACATTACAAAATTTTTGTCTTTATTTTCTGATTGCCACTTATTAAAGTGTTATTTCACATAATTCTCCTGGTGGCTAGATCTCCAGAAGTCATACAATTATCCATTCATTTGCTACAAAAATGAATATCCACTTTACAAACAAGACAAAAGCATCAAGTATTTTGCCAAGCTCTTGATGTGGGTGCACACACAGGAGTGTTTCTCAAGCAGTGGTCCCTGGGCCAGCAGCATCACCTGGAAACTTCTAAGAAATGCAAATTTTTTGCCCCACCCCAGATCTACTGAATCAGAAACTTTGAGGTGTTACACAATTTGGGTTTAATAAGCCCTCCAGGGAATCTTCGCACATACTAGGTTTTCAAGTTATTGAATTAAGCATCAGTCTTCGAAGATGAAGTAAATTTTATGCAAGAGAAAAAAATAATGCAGGTTAACACTAACTTTTGCTGCTGGCATATGAATTCACAAGTCAACTCCAGGGGCAGCTACATGGATGCACAAGGCCTTGGTAGTGCAGACTTCCAGAATGAGTGAAATGAAATGGGACTTGAAAACTGGATGAATCCCAAGTAGGAGAGGATTCTAACAGCAACCAGTGGAGACCTGCCACTACTGAATTCAGTCTGTGCACACGTGTTCTCCTTGATAAAACTCGACTGATTGTATGTGGATGATGACTGTTTACAAGGATGTGTTCAGTGAGGTGTCAATTTGGGCACGTTTTCTTTGACAGATCACATACCACAATCAGCTGAAAGCCAGTGAATGTGGGGTCACTGACCACATCATTAATGGAAATCAGACGAATCATAATAAGAAACACTTTTATTCTTTAAAAGCAATTGTTTTAAGAAAAAGGAATCAAAACTCTTGGCAATCACACTGACCATTATCAGGATAGTACATGCTACTAGGAAAATGTAATTTTTTTTCTGAGATGCTCCTTGCTGGATGATCTGCATCTATGCTATAATGTTGTGAACAACACACAGTATGAGCATGTTTAGTGAGCAAGACAAGAGCTGTGGCTTACTCTAAATACTTTCCTTGGCTGCAGTAGATGACCAAATTTGATTATATGTTTCCAGAGCTTAGAAAGGCTAACCACCTAATCATGCCAGAGCTCAACAAACCAGCATTAATAATCACCAAAAAAGGCACTTTAAAATACATTTGACAAGGAGTGACACTAATGCAATGAGAACTGGTCTAAGCCCTGCACTAAACTTGTCATAGATCATATAGATAGTGCATTGTTTCCATATGTATATATAAATATATATATATATATATATATATATATATATATGTATATATACCAACAACCACAAACGTGTGTGGGTGGGGGTGTAGCTCTGTAAGTCCCTGGTTGGGGAAAAAAAACCTTCGCTGTTTCCTTTAATTCAATAGTACACAAAAATTATAGTCACTTGTTTTGGAACAAAGAATGAGGGGATGAGAAAAGTAACACAAAAAAGTACCCTACTACACCTTTGTGTATCGACAAAAAAAGCAGTAAAATAAATACTCAGAACTTTCCTAAGTTGTCAACTATTAAAATTAAAAAAAAAAAAAAACCTAATGTTTTAAAAAAAGTTTATTCCACTGGAGGGAACAGGGAGGACATTTTTGGTACTGTAAATCTCACACACTCACACAGCCATATTGCTTCGGTTTAAGACGGTGGAATGAACACGAGAAATTTCTTCCACAGATTCTGGCTTTCAGTACCCAAGTTTTAGGTATGTTGTGTTATTCCACTTAGCTTAACATATAAACAAAGTCTTGTATAAATATATTTTTAGGAGGTCTAAATTCTCAAGATATTTTCAGAGTACTAAAAGTACTTAGAGGATTTTTGTGAAATAAACAGAATTGGCCATACATACCAGTCCACTGCATACACCCCAGACTTGGGTGTTTTGGCTCGATGTTCTGACAGACCAAATTTATCTGTGTCAGAGGTGGACAAAGGCTTACTTGTTCTTCCCAGGAACAAGTGTATAGACACATTCTTACTTTCAGAATATGAGAAAACGATTAGTAATGGCATTTAAAGTCAAATTACTAACTGTATAATGCCTGAGGACAAAAATCAGAGCAATTTTTGAAAGTTTAAGAGTCAGACTCTGGGCATTTCCGTTTTTTCGCTGCTGGCTCTTCAGTCTTGTTTGATTCTAAAGTGCTTGCGTTGGATTTGAGACTGGGGTCTGCTTTAAGGTTATCCATGGCAACAGTGAAGCCTGAGAGGAGGTACCCCCCACCTCCACTCATCAGTAGTTTGGGATGACTTCGATCTGGCAAAACCTAATCAAGACAGAAAGACATTCATGTTTTCCTAAGCAGATAAAGCACATGCTAACAATACACAGGCCATACATCTGAATTTAAAGGACAGAGATTCTCTTAAAGATTTAATTGGACCACTTCCTAAAGAGCTCCTTTCCTTCACCTGATAGTGCAGATGAAAGTGTAGAAATTGGCTTAAATGATTTTCTTTTGAAAGATAAAACTGAAGCTGTGGCTCTCAAACCTGAGGCGAGTCTCTGGTGGCAAATGAGCAAATGTTTGTGTAGTCCACTGGGCCTGTGCATACCTTTCTTTCTATTGGCTCCAGGAAGCTTCATGGCCAACGGTGGAGCTTGGGTCCATGGAGAAGTAGTTACTAGACATATATCCAGAGCTTCCTTTCCCTGATACCTTGTTAACTCTAACGGGCAGGGTCCATTCAGGGCTTTGAGTATTCTGGATTATGTAGTACCATGTCCAAGCAGCAGGGCAGGGCCTGTGGCAGCCATGGAGGTGTTCCTTCAGATCTCCCTTCAAGAGGGAACTGGCTGCGAGGAGTTCAGGCAGCAGAAAGCCTCTAGCTGCTGCTCTTTGGGATCCTCTGCAGCTTTAGACCCAGGGAGGCCATGGGCTGCTCCAAGTCGATTACTGAGCATGGGTACCCAGGACCGCAACATTTCTGCCCAATACAGGGCTCCTTTAATGGGCAATCTTTGCTCTAGCTTTCCCCATCATCCTGGCTGAGACTTTCTGAAGGCAGGGCTGCAGGCTCTTCCTCTCCATCTTCCTTTGTCTCCCTTCTTTATAGCAATCAGACATCTGCCATGGTCTGAGGGCTTTCCCATCTGATCCTGCTCCCTCTCCCCCTCATCTTTCAGAGGCATCCTCCCCAATAAATCCCTTCCCACTTCTAATTTCATCTTAGCACATGCCTTCCAAAGGACCTGAACTGACATGGAGCCCACCAGTAAATCCTGAAAACCTGCTACAAAGACATCCCAGCAAAGAGGAGAGAGTCATTTTCTTGTTGACCTAGGGATTTTGCTATTATCAGTTATTCCCTTCTACAGTGATCTCAAGGCCTTGGAGAAACAAGAACCATAACTGTTTGTGTTTCTGGCCTGGAGTTACAGAGTGATAGACCCTGACATGAAAGGAGGAAAAAGGGTCAGGAAAACCCAGGGCACTTTCTCTGAGTTATAGGCAGGAGAGTCTTTCATCTCTGTCGACAGAAATAGGGGTATCTCTATTTAACAACTTCTGGCACTACTGCAAAGAGCCAGAGCGACTCAGGAGAATCAGCTCCCTGGAACTGCTGTTAAGTACACATACCTGGTAATTCCTAAGCCAGGTTTCAGACAGCCTGAGGTTGATGACGCCTCCTCTTTCCCGCAGTTTTGTGTAGCATTCCAACAGAGGCTAAAGGCATAAACAGAGTTCTATTAAGAACGACTTTGAGGGCGGCGATTTGAGTATTAACATGCAGATGAAAGAACTCCCGTCTGTTCCATGTCAGCATTACCTCTTTATACTGACAGTAGACCACAAACGGTCTTGAAGGGGCCACGAAGTCCAGCAAAGACAGCAGCAGTGGAGTGGGATGGAAACGACTAGCTACAATTAAACTGCAAGGAAAACATTAGACAAATTACTTCTCTACTCGGCAAAGCAGTGCATAGATTTTAAAATGCACTTAAAACGATCATCTATTCATTTGCCATGACTCATACAGGGAAGACCTTTAAATACAATATTCTCCAAATTCCAAAATAAATAAATAAATAAATAAATAAATAAATAAATAAATAAATAAATAAATAAATAAATAAAATCGTGAGCTATTACTTTCTAAGAAACACAAAACGAATTAAAAGCTCTTGTGGCTGAGTGAAGTAAGTCAATCGGAGAAGGACAAACAGTGTATGTTCTCATTCATTTGGGGAATATAAATAATAGTGAAAGGGAATATAAGGGAAGGGAGAAGAAATGTGTGAGAAATATCAGAAAGGGAGACAGAACATAAAGACTTCTAACTCTGGGAAATGAACTAGGGGTGGTGGAGGGGGAGGAGGGCTGGGGGGTGGGGGTGAATGGGTGACGGGCACTGAGGGGGACACTTGACGGGATGAGCACTGGGTGTTATTCTGTATGTTGGTAAATTGAACACCAATAAAAAATTAATTAAAAAAAAAAAGCTCTTGTGGTCCTTGGCAACTCTAGGTAGCATTTAATGACATTCTTGATTATATATAAAAAAAAAAAAATCACCTGGAAACAAATCCAACACTGTAATTCTGGCTTGGCAGATCTCTGATTCTACACCTCCTGTCAGGTTTTCCTTAGCCTTTACCTAATTAGCCATTAATACATCAATTTGAATACCCCACTCCTTAGATGTAGCAGGACTACACAGACTCATTTGATACACTGTCATTAGAGAAATTTCAAATTTATTCTAAAACTCTGAAACCAGCACAACCAATTTCCCCACCTCCACCAGATGCAGCCTCCTTTCTTTAAAAAATCAAGACAGAATCATCATCTCTGCTTCAGCTATAATCAAAGCAGATAGGCAGAGAATTCTAAGCTGTTTGAAGCAGAGCCCACGAACACCCAGATATCTGCATTCTTTCATCAACGCACCCATCTGCGTTTCTTTCACTCAGCAGAGCAGCAGCCTCTAAATGTCTTTTCCTTTGCTCTTCTTGTTTCCTTTGCTTTTCCTGAATCTTCAAGAAGAAAAAGAAGAAATTAATGTACTTAGGTCATTCAGTCAGGTTTATGGAAATGCTGGTCTGTCAAAACATTTCAACGTATTTATCAATTTGGACTAAAGCAAGAAGGTCATTCATGAGGAGGTTGAAAACACAAACCCATTTGTAATAGGACCATCAGAACCTGTCTATACAATGTTTCTGGATCCTAAAGCTCCATCCCAAAGAATACACCACACATGTGTGTACACCCACACACACTTTCTCCATCCGTTTTGGCATTTATTACCTTGGGCACTGATGCTCCAAAGCCAAACCAAATCTGTGCTAAAATGAAGTTAACTGAAACTCTGAAGGGAATATTATGAAGGTAAGGGGGACTCTTAACACTTACATAATCCTTTTTGTTTCCTCTCTCTTTAGGCTCCTTATATTCTGGATCTTGAGAGATGATTTCCATTGTTTCCTGTTCTGGTGGGTGATGGCTCTCTGGGCCTTCTGCCACACTGTCTTCATTGTCTTGTTCCGAAGTCTGTTTTTCCTCCAGAGTCCCATTACTTTCTTCAACTGATGCACTGTCTTTAGGCTCTGAAGCTAACATCTCCACAGAAAATGTTCCATTTAGGAGACTGTCCACTTTGTTGAGTGGAAACTCATAAAGACCACTGAGGAAAGATTTGGGAAATCCAAAACATGCTGTTGCTGCCCGAACAGGTCCACCTCCAGGGTACAACTGAACAATGGAACCAAAACCTGAAGAGATTAAAAAAAAAAAAAAATCTGCTTGATGGAGGTGACTCTAGACTCTGCAAATACTCAAGAGTCCTCCACAGAATGGAGACTGAAGGTCTCAACTCTGTTCAGGGGCTATAGGATGATGCAGCTCCTCTGCAGGTCTTTCCAGTATATGAATACTCTCAGTGAAGGAAATATCATCCCAAAACATATGAACCCCCACTTGACACTATGGTTAAAACCCTGAGATCACCCAAAATTTGGGTGTCACATAATTGGTGACTGGCTCTTAGCTTTCTGCCAATCCAATCCTCATTCAGAGCAGCTGAAAGTTCTCATCTGCCACAGGGTTAGAGGGAGGGCAGGCAAACCAGGCTGTGTTGTGCTCTTCCAGGACAAGATACACCCCTTGTGTTCTTCTCATCCAATTCCTCAATTCAGGCCAAAAAAATGAGCACCAGCTATCCAAAAATTTACTGAAATCACAGTCCTGGAGGTCTAAGCCAGCCAAAGGCTTCAAAAACATCCCCACTGATGCTGAAACTGGAAAGGGCAATTGCCATCCAGGGGCACCAACACAGCACTGGCAGGGAGATGTGGACTCTATGGGAAGGTCCCAGGGACTGGGGCTGTGTGGGCCCACACAAACCATGTCATTAATCTTGCCGGAACTCAGCCTCACTCTCTGTGTGTTTGAGTTTTTAGGCCCTTCTACTCACATCATGGTGGTGCTTTAATGAACCTGAAAATGTTACATCTTACCTCCCATCCGTTCCATCATTGCACCCAGCACCAAGCCTGCACAAGTTTCCATTACAATCATTTTATTGCCAGCACGGACATTTCCCAAGGTCAACATCTGGGCTAGTGTATCATATCTCATGTGGCTGAGGAAAAAAGAATGATTCATTTATTTTTAGCTAAGCAGAGCCAGCTACTCTAATCATTTTTTTAAGTTTTGTTTGTATGTTTCACAAAAATTATGTTGATAAGATTATAGATTGCTTTGGAGGCACAGTAAAAAGAACTTACAGTTTATGAGGTAGGAGGACACTTTATGCAGGTGAACAAGTTTTTCATTTTACTTAAAATCATGACTTTTCTTAAAGATATATTTTCCCCCAATTATATTTTTGAAAGGAAACAAAGCGTACTTAATTTTTCCAGGTTCTCTTGCATAATACATAATTGAAAGAATGCGAGTGGATGGCTTCACAACAGTAATGATGGCTTCATACCTGGAGGAAGAAAACAGAGGACGTTAGTTTTTAAAAACTGGCTTAAAAATATTTTATTTTGAAAATATACTTCAGAAATTTATAATGATTTGATACTTTCATTCTTTTCAAACAAAATCCACTTACTTCTTTTTCTTCTTTTTTATATATTTATCTTGAGCAAATTCTGTCTTGTCTCGGAATGTTGTACTATTTTCAATTAACTGCTGAACTATTTCCTACAAGAAAAGGAACAAGCAGATTTTCTGAAATTTTATTTCCACTGAAATGATAACTTCAGAGGTTTCTTACCCTAGAATGTATCCAAAGGTCTGATTTTCCAGTCCCTTTTCCACAGAAGTCCAAATGAATAAACGGCATTTCTTTTTATTCTATCTAGAATTTGTATAAAATACAAGTACTTTGTACCTGCACTTAAAATAGGGTTAAAAAACACCCCCCCACAAAACAGAGATACATGATAAAGGGAAAAGGGGAGTAAAAGCAACAGTCATTTCTGAAGATACTGGCTGAAAACATTACTGAAAATGAACCAAGTTAAGCTCTGATGCACCCAAAATTATTAAATTCTCTTTTGCTAATAGTATCAGTAATGTCACTCACTTACATTCCTGCATATAAGAAATGAAATCTCCGATATATGGAATGGCATGTACATGTCAAACTATTTCTAATAGAAAAACAGTATTTTTATGTTTCACCTTAAGTAAATCCTGCTTTAGAAACCAAGCAATTTCCTCAATACCAAAAACAAAAACAAAACACAATGTCCTTTGAACATTACCTCTCCTTTAATGCCTTTGTCCTTTAAAGCTTTTATGTCATCTTGAGTAAGTTTCTGAGATTTCCCATCATCAATTATATTTCGATTATCAGTGCCTGCTTCTTTGGTCTCTAAAGAAGGAAATTGCTTAATGACACTTCTGATCTGAAGTTATTTAAGATCTTTCTTCCTCTAAGGTCATGTCCACATTCAGCACATCAGCCACTCAAGTTCCACTGTCTCCCCGACCCACCTCTCATCCACTATCCTTTCTTGCTGTGACTGTTCCACTCTCTAACTCATCTTCTTGCTCCCACTCTTGCCTTACAATCCACCCAGACACCTAGAGTATTCTCCTTGTAAAATGCAAACTGGCTCATCGAATCCTCCCATGCACAAAACAGTGGCTTCTTACAATTACAATTCTAAAGATATCTGCAAGGTTGTATATGTTCTGGCCCCTGACTACCTTTTCTAACTACCCCTGTACTTCAGCCACACTGCCCTCCTGTTCCTTAAACCAAGCACAGGCTCACCACAGGGCTTTGGCACTTGCTGCTCCCTCCACTTGGCACTGCTTTCATGACAGATCTCTGCCTAGGTCCTTCCCATAACTCAGGGCTGAGCTCATCATTATCTCAGCCATGTCTCACCCAATCAGCCTCCAGTATACCTCCCTGCTTTACCATCTTCACAGCACATATCACCATCTGCAAGTATGCTGTTTGTCTACTCATTCTTGGTGTTCCCCACTGCTCAGTACATTTAATAAGACGACTTGGACAGTGCCTAATCATGCCTGGAACATATTTGGTGCTAAATAAAAATATGGAGGTTAGAGTAAAGGCATTTTATTAACTGGTCTGAACCAAAACTTTGATTTGGTTAGTATTTTAGTTGTTTGGTTCTAAAAATTAATTATTTTATTTTATTAATAAAATATTTCAGGTACATTTATTTTAACAAGTGTTATAGTATTTAATTAACAATGACAACTAAAATTATGAGGTCTTTGCTATAGGCAAAGCATGGTTAAGACCTTTCTATGTGTTATATGACTGAACACTGGCTATAGCCTTGACATAAAATGTATTTATGGCTCCATTTTACAGATGAAGATACAAGCCCTAGAGAAACCAAGTAACCTGCCTAAGGTTACAAGGCAAGTGATGAACTTGGAACTTAAACATAGTCAGTTAAAGTCAAAGCCAGACTCTTACTCCTACCCTACATGCTAACTGCCTGCAGCTGTTATGTAACTTCTGGGCACTGAAAGGACTCTACCTGTTCTCGCACCAAACTAGCAAGGATTCTTCTAGGATTAAAAATTTGGCCCAACATCAGAAAGCCGGTTAGTGATGGGCTGGAGCCAGAATCCAGGGACCCAAAGCCAAAGGCAGACCTTGCTTCATTCCACCAAGCTACAGTTCTTAGATTATAAGTTTACATTTCTTTGGGGATAGCCTGGGTTAGCATTTTAAAATTGGGGTTGACAGGTTTCTGACTAGCCAGCTCAAGAGCACCTATTTCATATATTCAAAATAGTGTACCTGAAGTAGGCTCTTCCTTCTTCTTCTTAGGCTGAAGACTTCCTCCATTGGTCACTTCAAATGTGGTTCCATAGCTATGGCCAATGATGTTATCCAGATAGAACCACTGTTTTTCAAAAGTCACTTTTCTGGGGAAGAAAATGCAATTAGCTGAACCTCATTTGCATTCAGCATAGAAAAGATAGGCTCAATCAAGTTTATTTCAAAACTGGTCTCCATAAAGAATGATCAGCGTTATCTCTGAGCATAAACTGACAAGTGAACTAGAGAGAACTGGGCTGGGGCAGAGACATAAAATTAGTAAGAACCCACAAAAACACTGAACTTGGAAGGAGAAACAAGGACAGAAGACACTCCTCTTCTGAGGCCTTGTTCTGACTCCAATTTGCACTGACAGGACGTCCAAACTCACAGCTTTGTGGATCTCATGAATAGCATAAAGCATAAAGTCACTGTCAGGCCACTAGACACACAGTCTAACACCCCTTGCAACTCTAGCGAGAAACTCGCAAAACTGAACAGTCATTGAGATGACAGGGATTTAACAAATTCCCTGGTCTAACTGGCTATTTTTTAAAAAAATTATCTAGTAAAACCAGGGTTAGTCAGTAGAGCATGAGACTCTTGATCTCAGGGTCATGAGTTCACATTGGGTGTGGTGACTACAAACAAAAAAAATTATCCAATAAAGGCAAATATATTTACAAATAAACATTACTGATATTCTATACCGTTTGGAAATGCTGCCTAACACTGACAATGCTCTACTGAGGATCAGGCAGCCTCAGCTTTCCCCATTACCTGGATTTTTATCTTATTATCATTTAAAAGGAAAGTCCTACACACACATAAAAAGAAAACTAATATCTGCTGAGTGTTGACCAGTAGCTAGGCAGTACGTGCCAGCGTGTTTCTTTTTTTTTTTTAAATTTAATTCTCACAGTAATCCTAGGACATAGCTCTTCCCAGATGAACAATCTGAGGCTTAGGGAAAAGTATCTTGTCCAAGATACACCTTTAGAAAGTGGGAATCAGGATTAAAATCCAGGTCTGCCTGACCCCAAAGCCTGGTTCCTTCTACTCTACCACACAGTCTGCTCCAGGAAAGACCAATGGATCTCACGAAGCCCCCCTTAGTTTTAGGATATGGCCCATGTCCACAGAACTCTGAATCCTGGAAGACACATACTGGTTAATTTTGTTTGGGCCCCACCCCACACCTTCTTTCCCTTTCTCTGTGCTCCAGGAGTCTATGACAGAACCCATAGACCACATCACCCAACCTCCCTTGCCAAAAGTTTCCCACCACTGATAGACCCTGGGTGCATTCCCACTCTCTGTTGGTTCTCTAAATCTTGCCACATCACTGTATGTGTATGTGTCACATCTTCATTAAATCTCTTCACTTGAACCATCTGAGTGAACTCCATGAGATCCTAAGTGATCCATATATAGGATCAATTCTTATTCTTTGCTAAGTGCCTCGTTTCTAAAACATAACAGAACATAACGCACTCTCAAAATATTTGCTGACATACATCCAGTCAATCCAAGTTGAAACTCAGTTTAGCCCAGATCTACATCCCATACTCTCATCCCTTGAGCATCCTGGTGCTAATGAAACACTGAGGCTGAGCTGGGTAGGATTTACCCTTCTGGTAGCTGGTCTGATATGGAAAGAAGAGTAGATCACTCAAACTGATATGTGACAAGACATCACTGCCCCAATCAGGAAAATGGGGACCAGGCAGAAGAATGTGGTGCCATGTTTTCACTGAGAAGGAGTAGGATTTGCTAAGTCTCCTCAGTGAGTCACGATCGTTTCTGCTCAATCAGATGTGTACAGACCCAAAGAAGAGTGAAGGGAGAGTCTGCCCTGTAGTGTAGATGAACTCAGAGGATCATTTATTGAATAAAATGGAAATTAATGTACTGGCTTCTGCCAAGAGAAGTAATGAAAAGTGTTTCCAAATAAATATGTCTAGTATGGTTACAAAGTACCTTTTAGAAATGAAGATGCTACTATTTGCCTTGTTGGTAATGAAAAAGCTCTTGTCTAAAAGAGCACATTAACAGTCACATTTTAAAATCAAGCAACTTAAAAGGGCAGTATGAAAAAGGAAAGAAGACCAGAGTTTCACCCGTATGGTCACTGTACAGCTGTATAAACTCTGGAAGCATTCATCAAACTTACAAGGACTTTGCTGCACTGCTGTGCTGCACTGTTCAATTATAAAATTTAAATAAGTAGTATTGGCTCTTTCCAAAAAATACATACTTGAACCATATTTCTAATCGGAAATTCTAAAAAGAAAATCGTGCAGATATCACATTTCTGGACTAAAGGGAACTACCCCCCCCACCCCGTATTTCTTTGTCTTTACTAAATTGATTCTCGTGCAATAAAACTTGGTTGTCACCAGTATGGTGCTTTGGGAACTGTTACTTGACTATTTTCTAATGATACCTGTTTCACTTTAAATACCAGCCAACAGTTTGATTCACACAGGAGTAAAATCATTCATCTCACGTGCACTCTTAGAAACTCCAAATCTACCACTACCAAACCTATGGTCTGCAGAAAGCTGTTCTCCTTACACTGAACTCAACTTATTTCATTGTCAAAAGTACTATAATAAGCTAACTCAAAAGAAAGCTTGGTTGTACTTTTCAGATAACTAATTGAAATATCTCAACAGATTTTCAGCATGAATGAGCTGTTGGGGTTTAGCAACCTCAACATCCCTGCCGTGAAGTCACGAAAAATTCCCACTTCTCTAATATTAAAGCAGAGTTATAACTAACCAGTAGGTTCACAAATCAAGCCTAATTTCAAGTTTTGAGACCCTGAGCGAATTGCTTTTGGGGAATTTAACTTTCCTAGACCTCACATCCCTTCCCATAAAGTGAGGGAACCCTAGAGTGATCCTACGTGCTATGAGAAGTTGTTCTCCGATGTAATTAGGTGTAAACAATTATTCCAGTTTGGATAGAGAAAAGAGCCTAAGGGGCAGAAAAGGTTGCAGAGATTTCATTTTTGTGGGATTGATCCTGCTGAGGGGGAACAGGGTGAAAGGATGGTCTATGGGGAAACGGTAGGGAAGGGGAGAACCCTGAGAGGCAAGGATATCAGAGGATGATTGATGGGTTCTGTGAGATAAGAGGAGAGAACGTCTCACCGACGTGGAAGAACCCTGGACAGAGGGAGAAGGACGCGTGGGGGGGGCGGGGCGGGGAGAGCACCGGAGCATCCGAGGGGCAAGGATGGGAAAGGGGCCCTGCGGAACGAGATGGATGCTGAAGGCAGAAGGCCAGCTTGAAACCATGTAGGGGGCACTCTGCGGGAAGACTGGAGGAATAGGGGAGAATGGGACGCGGAGGGCCGAGAATGGGACTTTGGGGGAAAAGGCCGCTGTGGGAAGACCAAGGGAAGGAGGAGGTTGGGGAACTAGAGAATCAAGAACGGGACCCTGGCGGGAGATGCTCTGTGGGAAGACCTGAAGGGAAGGGGTATCTAGAAAACGGGGACGGCGACCCCGAAGGCCAGCCACCTGACTTACTTCCTCCGCTGGACTTGCACCGCTTTGAACACATCTTCCCGTTTCAGCACCACGAAGTCGCCGTCACGGATGCGGTGGTCCCCGGGATGCGGTGGCTGTGGGTCCAGCGGCTCTCCTGAGCCCTCCATGGAGCTCAGCCGCTCTCCCCGCGCTTCAGCGCCTCTCGCGTCCCCCGCGCCCCGCCCCTCGTCCTCCGCGGTCGCCGCGTCCACCCTCACTACCGCAAGCCGAACGGACGTAGGAGCCTCCGGCCGGCACCGCCCCCACGTGCTGCGCGCCGCTTCCGCTTTCCGGTCGGACCCTCCCGACAGTTTCCGGGAGCCTCGCAGCTTCCGCCTGGCCGAACTCCTTGATTGGCTGCACTCCGCTCCCTCTCGTCTCGCCGCTCCTTGGACGGAAGTTACGTCACAAAACGCGCCAAAAAAGATTTTGGAAGCAGGTGAGTTCAGCGTGAGTAGCTAAATAAATATCTTCCCGAGAGCCTGCGAAGTGTCGTGAGGAACTGAGGTCTCCGAGCGGCTCCAACACGGGAGACTTGGCCCCGCGCGGGGACGTCAGAAGGACTGCGACTGAAGGGACTTGGGCAGGAGTCACCTGAGGACGTCGGACTCCAGTCTCTTCCCGGCCCCGCCTATTTCCCCCTGGAGTAAGGGAGAGCCAAGCGGAGTGCACCTGCTGCCACCCGGGAGCCTGCCCCACTGAGAACTGAGAGCTTTGAGACCTATATCCTTTGCAAGTCAGAACAGCTTGAGGAGATGTAAATGAAGGAGGGTATTTAACGAAGCACAGCGGACCCACCCGTGGGTTCGGTTCTACAGTCCTTCTTGAGTTTGTTTTTGAATTCTTTACTAGGTATTCTCACTCTCATCTCATTTCTAAAAGGTGTGGCATGTAGTGTTCTCAAAGTAGCGCTTCACGCGGGAGTCTGAAGACGGAGCTGGGAGCTCAGTACTGCTATCAAACAGTTTGATTTTTTTTTTTTTGGTAAGATTTTATTTATTCATGAGAGACAGAAAGAGGCAGAGAGAGAAGCAGGCTCCCCACAGGGACCCTGATGTGGGACTCGATCCCAGGACCCTGGGATCACGCCCTGAGCCAAAGGCAGACAGACACTCAACCATTGAGCCACCCAGGTGCCTCTCTTATGTGGAATTTAAGAAACAAATGAGCAAAGTGGGGGAAAAAGAGAGAGAGACAAACCGAGAAACAGACTCTTAGCTATAGAGAAAAAAACCTGATGGTTACCAGAAGGAGGTGGGTGGTGAAATAGGTGATAGAAATTAAGGAGTGCACTTGTGGTGAGCCCTGGGGTTGTATGGTAGTGTTGAGTCACTGAAACATACTACACTCTATGTTAACTAACTGGGATTTAAATAAAAACTTAGATGGAAATAAGTAACTGTTAAAGTAACTGGAGTGTCTGAGGCTGCACTGTTGCAGGCCTGTTTGTTAATCTCAAATTAGAATATGTTAATTTTGTATTTACTATGTTACTACATTCTTAACACTATTTTCACTGTAATTTTGATGAGATTTATTTTTGGTCTTTATCTTTTAGAAAATATGAATGGAGACTATAGAGGCAGAGGATTTGGACGAGGAAGATTTCAAAGCTGGAAAAGAGGAAGAAGTGGTGGGAGCTTCACAGGACAATGGAGAGAAAAAGAACACAGACCCGATCTGAATAAAACCATGAGAAAACATACTTCTGGTAGAGGAGGTCAAAAATTGTTCAATTTTTTTTTTTCCTTCATGAAGGAAACTGCCGGTCCTACAGAGAGCAGTTTAACTTAAATTTGAGTCTTATATGATGTTACTCCTTAAAATAGTATTTAAACATTAAATCCAACGTTTTCACTGAAACCTCTAACTTTACCTGCAACTAGTAATATCATATCAATTTCTCATTGTTGGAAGGAGAAGCAAATTAGAAAAAATGTTCTATTTCTACTGAGCTAGTGCTTGCTTTGGCAGCACATATACTATTTCTACTTATTAGTGTATTCTGTTTTCTTCAGAACAAACCTCACAGTCTTCACTACTACAATCAACATTGGACCAGTTCATACCATATAAAGGCTGGAAGCTTTATTTCTCCGAAGGTAGAGTTAAAAGTGCAAAAAGTATTGTAAATTCTATTTTCATAACTTGTCTTTGGATGTTACATCTCGTATTATTACTATAATTCATTTGGCTTATTGATAGATACCACCTTCTTTAATTTTAATTCACTCAAACAATTAAATCATGTTTCAAGAATTATTTTTAGGTTTTCTATCAATTAGGAAAGCAGAAACTACATTAGGTATTTCAAAAGGGGATTTAATACGGGGAATTGAATATACAGATGGAAGTCTAAAAGAGCAAAAGAGGAGTATTGAGATAAGCCTGGCCCAGCTAATAGTAACTTCTGGAAGCAGCATCTATTCTTATGGCTGAGGGTACAAAAGGTAAGAAGTTCTGAGGTTGCTAGGACCTAGGAATTCAGAGGAACAGCTGTTGCTTCAGCTACTGAGGGGTCCCCTCAAAGTAGTACTTAGTACTTGGACCTCTAAAGGGTACCCTTCTAATCTGTGCTCAGATCACTGCAGTGAATGAAGCTAGTTGTTGCTGGTAACTCCAGTGGGAGGATTGCACAGTTGATGCTTATAGCTGGAGGCTGGAATTGTAGCTATTTTCTGCAGCTGGAGAGATGCTGCAAAGAATTAGAAACAAAAATAAAATCCTTCTTTCTTGCCACCTTCCAGTCTTTAAAGTGGCTCCAATTGGCAGAGCTTAAAAGAAATCTGGAAAATGCACTGTGCAGATCTCAATTACAGCATCACAGAGCAGAAAAATAGGAGGGTGGGCTTGGAACTGAGATACCACCAACACAGGTTTGTGTAGAAACACACTTAAGGAATCTCCCCTTTTATAATCAAGAACATCAGCTAACATACACATATTTAGAGGTTTGGAGACTAGTCTTTCCTGGGTTTTTACAGTTTTTATGTTTATTATGTCTTATGAGTTACGGGTTATGTGTACACTAGGCTGTGTATTTTTTTTTTAATTTTTTTTTTAATTTTTATTTATTTATGATAGTCACACACACACAGAGAGAGAGCGAGAGAGAGAGAGAGAGGCAGAGACACAGGTTGAGGGAGAAGCAGGCTCCATGCACCAGGAGCCCAATGTGGGATTCGATCCTGGGTCTCCAGGATCGCGCCCTGGGCCAAAGGCAGGCGCTAAACCGCTGCGCCACCCAGGGATCCCTAGGCTGTGTATTTTAAAGGCAAGGATCTTGCTCCATATGAAGCACTCAGTGTGAATGAATAAAGTGCTTTACAAATGTATTCTGTATTGAGAGTCTGTTTCTACTATATACACAGATGTGTTTCCTAAGTGATATGTCTTTTGTTGCTTTCGAATGCATTAGCTACCAACATGCAATATTTCCCTGGCAGTTAGCCCAGAACACTAGAAGTGATCTTTAGACTGGTCCTAAAGATGGAGTTCAGGAGATGCCTTGGGTTTAATCACCTCTGCTTCCAAACTACTTTATGTTATTGTATCGCTGTGGAAGACCAATTTGAAAATGTTACAGAACTTTATAGTATAAAGGTTTTAGGACTAGAGTGAAGTAAGTAATAGTCTGTCTCCACTGATCGCAGGATATGGCAATTTGGACTAGTAGAATTTACTTTGCAAAGACTGATTGTTGTTAGCTCTGTTTCTAAATAAGAATTTAGTTCATGTGTCTAGCTTTGGCTTTATTATAGTTTTCATTTTAAGCTTTATTATGTAAGTTATTTGAACTACTAGGTCCTATTAAGTATCCACGGTTCAGTCAAAGATTTCCAGATATTGGTGCTTTTATAGAGAGATACTTCCTATTTGCATTTAAGACTATGCAGACCTAAACTTGCTTTAATCTTAACTATTGGGATCCCTGGGTGGCTCAGTGGTTTGTCACCTACCTTTGACCCTGAGGCATGATCCTGGAGTCCCAGGATCAAGTCCCGTATCGGGCTCCCTTCATGGAGCCTGCTTCTCCCTCTGTGTCTCTGCCTCTCTCTTTCCATGTTTCTCATGAATAAATAAATAAAAAAATCTTAAAAAAAAAAGAATCTTAATTATTCACTCAGTACTTACATATATTCTTATGTAAATGTAATCAGAATGCAAAATAGTTAAAAGTCTTCTACCATGTATGTTAAGTGTTTTTTCCGTCTCATGAAAGATATGCCTGTACACATGTGATTATTAGTACTAATGCCATTTTGTTGGATTAGTTTACAGCAGTAGCTCTCCTTTTATTCAGAAGATTCAAGCATTTGAAATTTTTTTCACAAGGCGTATTGATTTATACGATAAGGTAAGATTCCTGTATAACAAAGCTACTAGTCTACCTTATATATTATCTTCTTGAACAATGTATTTGAGATGCTATTAATCAGGAGATGCTGACAAGCCAGACAGCCTTGATCCAGATCTCAGCTCTGCCACTTAGCTCAGTGTGGACTTCGGTGTATTACCTACATTCTTTGTACCTTGGTTTTCTCCTGTATCAGTTGGGCATAGTAGTATTAATACCACAAAAAGTTGTGTAGAGGCATAAATAAGTTAATATAGTTTAAATAGTGTAAATATGCTTGGTGTAAAGCTTATTGTACCCATTGTTTTTACCATATAAACATATTCTTTTTCAAAGTATGTAATTGAATGTTTAGTTATGATAGTTGGCTCCAAAAAAGGCATCATTGTGTTCATGCCTTAATATCTTATAGGATGAAATAGAAAGAAAGGGAAGTATTTTGGTGGATTTTAAAGAACTAACAGAAGACAATGAAATGGCTGACTTGGTACCAAATATAGCAAATGAGTTAAGGGATACACCTGAGAAAACCTTGGCTTGCATGGGTCTGGCAGTACATCAGGTAAATATTTATTTTGTGCAGACTTCTGTCAAAATTTTAAAGGAAGATTTTACAATAACAGTACCTTCTCTAAAAGATACTTAGTTTTTAACCAACAGATGGCTAGGACTGAAAGCTTACAGTCTTGTCTTAATAGATGCCATTTATTTTATATAGAATAGCTTATCTAAATATAGCATTCAGGGGATCCCTGGGTGGCGCAGCGGTTTGGCGCCTGCCTTTGGCCCAGGGCACGATCCTGGAGACCCGGGATCGAATCCCACGTCGGGCTCCCGGTGCATGGAGCCTGCTTCTCCCTCTGCCTGTGTCTCTGCCTCTCTCTCTCCTCTCTGTGTATTCTCATGAATAAATAAATAAAATCTTTTAAAAAATATATATATATAGCATTTATTTTAATTTATTTGAATTAGTTTAGTCTATTGAAGATAATACAGAAATTAAAGAGTTCCTTAGAAACAATCTCAGGGAAGATAAGACTTCAGGATCATATTATCTGTTACAAACTTGGAAAGCAACTCAGATTTAGGTTCTGTGGCATGAGGCAAGTCACTTACACTCCCTGAGTGTCCCTATATATAAACTGAAAATAACAATATGTGCTGTGTCTGCCTGAGTTTTTCTCAGGATCAATTGACACAATATATGTAAAACTATTATTTAGGCTGGCAAAGAGATAAATGCTTCAAGGAAAAGACTAGTAAATCTCAGAACAAGCACAGATAAAATACTGTATTCAGAGATAAAGAGTTACTGGGGAGAAATGGAGAGAGCTCAGAGGACTTTGTAGAGATGGTAGAGTTATTATGGGTCTTAAAGGGGGTACTGAGAACTGCACATAGAGCAGAGGAGGTAATGGTAGCCAGGAGCAAGGAATAGTTCGTTACAAAGATGTGTACACTGCTGGTACCTGAGACTGGAAACCTTGGTGTTGTCTTCAGTCTCCTCTCACTCATTAGTTCTCTATATTCCAAGTCACCACATGCTTGCATTTCTATTTCTGAAACATCTCTTAAATCTATTTCTTTTCCACCTTTACTGCCTCAGTCTTAAACCTTCATTATCTTTCCTAAACTGTTGCTATACCTGATAAAACATGATCTGTCTTTGGAAACTGTAGTTACTTTACTACAGAGTGAAATCTAAATCCTTTTTGTGGTGTTATAGGCTTCCATGATCTGATTCAACTTCCTCCCCACTTCCACTCACTACCATTCAGCTAAGCTGAGCTCTCCTCAGGAGTCTTTCAATTGTCTGATCTCTTGCACATGCTATCCCTTAACCGTGGAATGCCCCTTGCATTGCATATCCAAATTTGGGGGGCCTGACACTATTGTCTCACCAGGAAACCTTTTTCATGACCTTTTTTTCAAAACTTGCATAGTATTTTGTCTCTAAATCTTTGTGGTCTTTATAGCAATTATAGCTGTATATGTGCATCTCGTTTTCACTTTTAAGATTGTCAGCATACTGCTTTATATACAAGAGGTTATTAACTATTTAATATCAAATGCCAAGGGAGTGTGTATTGGATATTTCAGAAGTTGTCTCTATTTTCTCTATCTTAATAAATCACTGAATATGGAGAAGTAGAAAATATGTTTTCACCAGAGCCTGTCCAAAAGGTAATAGCTTTGAGGACTATTGTAAGGACTTTTACTATTAAGCTTAGTTTGGACATAAAGTAGTAGACAGGAATGCTGGAGTTTTCCATTCCAGACACAACAAAATCCCAGGTAAAACAATCCACTATAAGTAGTCACAATTAAGTATCAGAGTTTTAAAGGGCTATTACAGTTTTGTTAATATTCTGCTCTGAACTGTTTATATTCATAAACTTCAGATTTTCTAAAAAAGAGTTTTGCTTCAAGAGGGTATTTTGTTCCAACTTTTGAATAAATACCTGTTTTGTTTAGGTATTAACTAGGGACCTTGAAAGGCATGCAGCTGAATTACAAGCCCAAGAAGGATTTTCTAGGGATGGGGAAACAATGGTAAATGTGCCACACATTCATGCCAGGTGAGGATTTCTGTTATTAAGGTATTATTTAGAATCTGGCATTTAAGACTGTTTAAGAAGGAGAACCTCATTTTATAAAGCCAAAGAAATCAGTAAAAAGGGTATGAGTTCTTTGCCATCTATTGGTTATCACACCTAAGTGAACCCACTGAGAATTCTTCAAAGAAATCATGACAAAAATAAATTTTCCTGCCTGAAATGAGATGATTTCCCAACCTTCACATTTTGGTAAAGATTGATTATGGGTGTGTCCTTATCAAGTCCCTGCTATTTGAAAAGTGATACACTGGGATCCCTGGGTGGCGCAGCGGTTTGGCGCCTGCCTTTGGCCCAGGGCGCGGTCCTGGAGACCCGGGATCGAATCCCACATCGGGCTCCCGGTGCATGGAGCCTGCTTCTCACTTTGCCTGTGTCTCTGCCTCTCTCTCTCTCTCTGTGACTATCATAAATAAATAAAAAAATTAAAAAAAAAAAAAAAAAAAAAAGTAAAGTGATACACTAAGCGCTTGATTATATTTTGTTAAAATTATGAGGTTTCTACTAGACACAGAACAAATGGAATTTTGTTTTTCTTCAATTCATCTTTAAGATTTTAAATTCTCATTAGAAGAAATAAATAAGGTAATCATCAGGGTTTTGCTTTTCTTCTCTAGAATTTATAGAAGACATTGTGTAACGGTTCTTGAAAAAGAAATTAGAAACTGGAAGTCATTTTTTTTGTTGCCAAAATTTTCCTGTTGGCATTTTTTTTCCCTTTTTTCCCCTTAGAGAACAGCCAATGAGACAAGAAGAAAAGGGGAGATTTAGCATTTTTTGATTTTTAAGGATGATTTAATTCTTGTGAAATTTCTGATATATAGGGATGATATGGTTAGAGAATTCCAGTTGCTCCTAAAAGGAAGTTATGAAAATATAGATAATGTTCACTGTTGGTTCATTTGTAAATTCAATGATAAATACATTCTTGTTTTTGATGTTAGGGTGTATAACTATGAGCCGTTGACACACCTCAAGAATGTCCGGGCAAATTACTACGGAAAATACATTGCTCTGAGAGGGACAGTGGTTCGTGTCAGTAATATAAAGCCTCTTTGCACCAAGATGGCTTTTCTTTGTGCTGCATGTGGAGAAGTTCAGAGTTTTTCTCTTCCAGATGGAAAATATAATCTTCCCACAAAGGTAAGCTATTCTTTAACTGAATTATCTTGGCAAAGAAGGCAGATCATTTTACAGAAAACATTTCCCAGTGTTTCTGTACACGGAGGTAATTTTTATTTTTAATTTTCAATTTTTAAGTTATGAAGTACTTTAGGGAGGAGATCCCTGGTGGCTCAGTGGTTTAGCGCCTGCCTTTGGTCCAGGGTGCGATCCTGGAGTCCCGGGATTGAGTCCCGCATCGGACTCCCGGCATGGAGCCTGTTTCTCCCTCTGCCTGTGTCTCTGCCTCTCTCTCTCTCTCTGTGTTTATCATGAATAAATAAATAAAATCTTAAAAAAAAAAAAAAAGAAATACTTTAGGGTATAGAAAAATAGGTAAAATATTTCTCCAGTCACCACCCAGAATGTACATTTTGCCAGTTCCAGATATATATATATTTTTAAAGTTTTTATTTATTTATTAATGAGAGACACAGAGAGATGCAGAGAGAGGCAGAGACACAGGCAGAGGGAGAAGCAGGCTCCATGCAGGGAGCCCAACGCGGGACTCAATCCCAGGTCTCCAGGATCAGGCCCTGGGCCGAAGGCGGCGCTAAACCGCTGAGCCACCTGGGCTGCCCCCCAGATATATTTTTAAAGATACAAAGCATAATGATATAAAGATAGAAAATGATATTAGTATCTCCTTTGTACCCCCTTGCTTGTACCATTCCCAGAGATCATTATCCTGAAGTGAATGTGTATTCTTTCCATTCATATTTTTATATTTAGACTTAATAGGTATATACGTTGTTTCCTTTACTCTGCTGCTTGAAAGTGATGTGTTCCTTTTTTCTTTTTTTTTAGACTATTATAGATTTTTTTTAAAAGATTCTATTTATTTATTCATGAGAGATAGAGTCAGAGACGTAGGCAGAGGGAGAAGCAGGCTCCATGCAGGGAGTCTGATGTAGGACTTAATCCCAGGACCGCAGGATCATGCCATGAGCCAAAGGTAGATGCTCAACCACTGAGCCACCCAGGCATCCCAAGATTATTATAGATCTTAAAGCCATAGAAGAGTGGAGAGAATATCTGTATATGCACCATTATGAGTTGACAAGTACTAATATTTTGTGATTTTAGCTTATTTTTTATTTTTTTAAAGATTTTATTCATTCATGATTGACAGAGAGAGAAAGAGAGAGGCAGAGACACAGGCAGAGGGAGAAGCAGGCTCCATGCAGGGTGCCTGATGTGGGACTCGATCCCAGACTTCAGGACCATGCCCTGGGCCGAAGGCAGGCGCTAAATTGCTGAGCCACCTAGGGATCACCATTAACTTAATTTTTTAAACATAAAATATTATCAAAGTTGAACTCTCTCTGTTGCCCTCCCCAGTTCCACTCACTTTTTTCCATCCTTAGAGGCAGCCACTCTTCTGAAACTGGCACGTATTCTTCCAATATGCATTCTCATACCTGACTATATATATATAGGATTTATTTTCTTGTGCTGTTACATAAATAGTATGCTGAATGTAACACTCTGCCAACTCTTTTTTCACTTGGTTGTTTTGGACTTTACCTATTTCAATACATATCTAATTCTTTCATCTTTACCATTGTGGAGTATTCCATTGAATGAATAGCTACTATTATCCATTCTCCTAGTGGACATTTGTGTTATTTTCAGTTTTTTACAGTTATATGATGCTGCAGAGAACGTTCTTGTACATTCCTCCTTAGCAGAGGAATTTCTCAGTTGTGGGATATAACATTGTTAACTATTAGATGTTGCCAAACAACTTTCCAGAGTGTTGGTCCCAGCTTACCCCTCTGTTGGTAGTGTTAAATAATTACCATTTCCCTGTATTCTCATTAACATTTGGTATTGTTAGACTTCTAAAATTTTGCCATTCTGATGGGTGTAAATGGCATTTCATTTTTAATATGAATTTCTGTTGCAGTTGAACATCTTTTCACATCTTTGTTGGCCATCCAGTTTCCTTCTTTATTGAACTTTCTGTTTAAATCTTCTGCTTATTTTCCTGTTTATACTATTGATAGGAATTCTTTGTGAATTCTAGGTACTAATCATTGATTATATATATTACAGATATCTTCTCCCAGTATTTGCTTTATCTCTTTGTGGTATATTTTTTGTTCTACAGTTTTACATTTTGACAGATTAAATTGATCATTTTTTTTCCCCTTATGACCTTTATGTTTTATGCCCTGCCTAAAAAGCCTTCCTCATTTGAGTGTTATAAACATATCTCTTACATTTTCTTTTAATAGTTTTAAGTTTCGTTTTTATACTTGGATTTTTGCCCATCAGGAATTTAATCTTGGGAATGGCATAACACTAAGGACCTAATTTTGCTCTTTGAAGTGAAAGCCATTTGGCACCATTTATTAATTAAGTCCTCTATTATCAGTCCTACTGATGTGTATTGTTTCTTCTATGGTGCACTGTCCTATGGACATGTGAGTCCATTTCATTTTGCTGGTCCTGTACAATCCTATTTATATTGATCTCATTAAAGTTTTTGATTAAGGCAGGGAGACTACCATATCTCTTCTTCTTTTTTGGAATTGTGTTTACTATCCTTGGATTTTAATAAATTTTTACATTTATTACATTTTTACACGAAATTTGTAAGGTTTCCTTCTCTTCTAGGAAGAACAGGGTGTGTGAGATTTGGCTATTGATTCTGAATAATCAGTGGTGTTGGTAAATGAGTGTCATCTGCTCTTTGGGCTTAAGGTTCAGGCTCTGTCTTTAGTTCAGAGGTTAGAATTTCAATCCTGATTTATTGGATATTTTCTGTAAACTATATTTGGTCAAAGTATTCCCATGCCCTCCAATGTAGTGGGTAGTAATGCTGACTCACAGGATGAGCATTAGTGTGAAATGTTCTGCATGTGTCTGAACTTGCATGAATTGAAGTGACAAGAAAGATGTTTGTTCAGGAGATCCATATTTTAGTCACTATTTTTGTTACTATATAACAAATGACCCTAAAACTTAGTGGCTCAAAATAACAGCAGTCATCTAATTCTTTCTCAAGACTTCTGTTAGTCCAAAGTTTGGAAGAATTGCTTGGCTGGGTAGTTACCCATTTAGATCTTTTAAGGAATTGTAGTCAAATAGCAGATAGAGCTGAACAGCAAGAGGCTGGAGTGGCTGGGGGCTGGCTGGGCATCTCTCCTCCATGTGTCTTTCTGGGCTGGTTTTGGTTTCTTGTACATGGTATGGCAGCTAAGGGTACTCAATCTGCTCACATGGCTGCTGATAGCTTCAAGAGACAGGTCCAGCTCTCAGGAAAAAATGGCTGCCTCTTTTGAGCTAGCTTCAGAAAACAGGTGGCATCACTTCTATTGGTTACAAAATAAGTCATAAGCCTGTCCAGATTCCAGAAGAGGGAAATTAGACTCCATCTTTTGATGGGGGAGTGGGAGGGTTCTAGAAAGGCTCATGGGAAAATACTGTTACAGCCATATTTGGAAAATACAGTTGGCCACAATCTCTGAATTTACAAATGCATCTTGAGGTCCAAATAGCGGACAAGTGATTTTTAAAAACTTAAACACATTTACATTTCGAGGACTGTCTCTGTGGACTGTCTCACAGTGCAAAGGCAAGTGAGATAGGGGAGCTCGGGATCAAAGAAAACCCAGGAAGACTTTGGAAAAGGGGAGGATTGGTGCTGGATATTGTGGATGCGAGAGGGCATTCGAGATTCAAGGATCAGGAGACTGAATGTGCACAAAGGAAGGAATATGTGCTCAGTGTGAGAGGCTTGTGAGGAGCCTTGCACACCCACAGTAAAAGGAATAAAAGCAGTAATCAAGAGGAACTAGCTGGAAAAGTGCCTCAAAAGCTTGTAATATAGAATCAATGCAGAAGAAAGTAGTCATTATGCTCATACTGCATTTTATTATAACACCATTCTGTGACCAAGTAAAAGTAGTATTAAATGAAGCATTTTAACTTGCATTTTCCTTAGATGTGATTGTAGTTTATCAAAATGTGGATGTGAATTAATCTTCTTGCAGTGTCCTGTGCCCACATGTCGAGGGAGGTCATTCACTGCTCTCCGTAACTCTCCTCTCACGGTTACGATGGACTGGCAGTCAATCAAGTAAGCAGACTATAAATAAAACACAGGTTTTAGATCTCACATTATAGATTTACTGCCTAGTAAATTTATAATATTCATATATTATATTGTGAGTCTTATCTGTAGACAATGGTAAAGTATATAGTAAAAGATTTATTTGTTTTATAGTTTATATGTTGAAATGATAATTGTCTTTATTTGAAATGTGTTCTATATCAGATTGCAGAAAGGATTTTAAGTATCCTGTCCTTTTTCTACTGAGGAATAGTTTATTTCTCATGTGATTCATTGAACTGGATGTAGACCAACAAAGCTGTATGATTTTCTTTCCATGAGCTGTGATAGAAATGTTGTTAGAAGTGTTAAACAAGAATGCCTTAGAAATAGATATGTTTCATTTTATATTCTCACTATGAGGCATTTTACTATGGGTTTTTTTTTAAAGCTGTTTTTTGTAGGTCATATGGTTTTTAGTGTGTTTGTGTGTGTGTGTGTGTGTGTGTGTGTGTGTGTGTGTGGTATTTTTAACCCAACAAATTACTGTGTTTTATCTGACCATCGTCCCGTAACTCATCCCTGAATATAAAATAATGGGTGGTTTGAAGTCAGAGTGCTACCCAAGAAACCTGGCTAAGACAGCAGAAGGTATTTAAAAAACCAAGAACCTAGAGAAACAGTGAGATGGATTGCTACCAAGCCCTGTCCTAGCTTTACCTCCTGTTCTGCAAAAACTAAGACTGACATATGTAATAAATGTACAATATGCTGAGATCTTCACAAACTCTCCATTTTATAAAATAAATGTTTGAGACTTTTACATTTTATTTAAAAAATTTTTAACTCCGACGTAGATAACCTACAATATTATATTTATTTCAGATATATAATATAGTGGTTGCTCAGTGCCCATCACAATAAGTATACTCTTAATCCCCTTCATCTATTTCATCCATCTCTCACCCACCTCCCCTCTGGTAATCAACAGTTTGTTCTCAATAGTTAAGAGTCTCTTTCTTAGTTTGTTTCTCTTTTTCCTCCTTGGTTCATCTTTGTTTCTTAAATTCCACATATGAGTGAAATATGGTATTTGTCTTTTTCTAATTGGCTTATCCCACTTAGCATTGTACCATATAACTCCATCCATGTTGTTTCAAATCGCAAGATGTCATTCTTTTTTATGGCTATGTTAAAGACTCTTGAGCATGGTCTCGTGCTCTTTTAGTTCACAACAGTGTGCAAAGAAAGTCTGTAGGATTTTCACCTCTCAGGAGCTGCAGGGTTCACAATAGGGTAAGTTCACAGAAGGTCCAGGGTAATTCACTTAATTATACAAAATCTCTCTGCTTTTTTGGTAAAAATAGCAGACAAGAAAATAGGCTCAAATATTTTAGTTGGATTTGAATGATGATCTCTTGATATTAGATCAGACTTAGAAAGGGAGACCATTTAGGGGAGGCTGAGTGGCTCAGGCGATTAAGTGTCTGACTCTTGGTTTTGGCTCAGATCATGATCTCAGGGTCATGAGAATGAGCCTCAACTTAGGCTCCACAACCAGGAGGGGAGTCTGCTTGAGATTCTCTCTCTCCCCACCCTGTGACCCCTCCCCAGCCTCTAAAATAATAAACAAATCTTAAAAAAAGGAGAGGGGAGGCCATTTAAATCCTTTTCTTGAATCTTTAAAAGTAAGATATTGCTAAAGTTCGTTTTGAATGAGTTATAGTAAAACTTTGTTAGTATAATATTATCTTACATTATTGTTTTATTCTACCAATGTGTAGATATATAAAATGACTATCTGCCCTAAGTGAAAGATCTTCGGGCTTAGATTGGAATGCTCATAAAGAATTTAATTGTTTCTCAGCTAGTGCTTTGAATAACTTGAATGCATCAAGGTGAAAGCCTTACAATGTGGGATCCCTGGGTGGCGCAGCGGTTTAGCGCCTGCCTTTGGCCCAGGGCGCGATCCTGGAGACCCAGGATCAAATCCCACGTCGGACTCCCAGTGCATGGAGCCTGCTTCTCCCTCTGCCTGTGTCTCTGCCTCTCTCTCTCTCTCTCTCTCTCTGTGACTATCATAAATAAATAAAAATTAAAAAAAAAAAAAAGCCTTACAATGTATATCAAAGGCCTTGCAGTTGAAGCAGTCCGTTTTAGGGGTTTACTTGATGAAAACAGTCACAATATGTGAAGAAATAGCTTGCTGAAAGTATTTTTTCACTGTGTGTGTGTGTGTTTTAATGGGGAACAGCCTAAACATCTGAAGAAAATATTGTAAGTAGGATGGTACAACGGATTATTGTGTAGCCACTAAATATGATGGTGTAGGAGAATATTTTGAAATGACATAAAAAAACTATGTACAGTGTTTCTAGTGACAAAACTGGCAAGAAATACACGTTAAGAATATACTCTCTAGGAAGTGAGATTGAAGTTGTTTTCTTCTTTCTGTTTATCTGTTTTAATAAGAAAAGTATTAATATCTAATTTCTTAAAGCAAGACATCTTTAGCATGTTGTGTCATTCTGAGGCTTCTCATTGCAGTCTGGCAGTGTTTTGAGTGTGCACGGAGGGTGAAGGTGGAGGGTTTGTGGTGGTGAAGAAGGAGCAGGGTTTGAAGTAGTGCAGGTTAGGTGGATACCTGGCTGTGACCTCAGAGGAATTGAGAGGCTTATCTAGATGTATAATGAATGTATTCCAAAGTTATTATTTTAACATTCAGTGATTTTTACTTACATTCATTATTTAAAGTTTTAAAGACTTCCAGGGAAGATGGCAGAGTAGGAGGATCCTAAGCTTACTTGGTCCCACAGATACAAGTAGGTAACACCCACATCAGTGTAAATAACCCCAAAAGCAACCTGAAGACTGGTGCAACAGATTCCACAGCTAAATACAGAGAAGAGGCCACATCCAAGAGGGTAGAAAGGTGGAGATGTGGTTAGGAGCCAAACGGATCCACGGGACTGTGAGAGGAAGGGACTTAGCAGTTGTGGGGAGGGGAGAGAAGCAAACCTCTACAGCAGGCACCCCAGGCACCGGGAACCTGCATAGGGAAGGTGACGACCCATAACATTTGGCTTTGAAACCGAAGGGGCCTAATTTTGTGAGTTCTTCCAGCCTGAAACTTTAAAAAATCAGTGGCTCAGCTCTAGGAGAGTTGGTGTTGAGAGAAAACGGAGTCCCTGCCCTTAAAGGGAGAGCACAACAAACAGCTCTGCTAAGATACAGTATAGAGCAGCAGTTTGAAAAATGCCTAGGGTTTACATGAGGGAAATTTGTTGGCTAATCTCAGAGCATGTACTAGACTGGAGGGGCAGGGCTTTTTCAGAGACTTCTCCAAGAACAAAAGAGCTGGTTGGTGCTGTCTCCCCTCCGTGGACCCCCAGCCTAGTTAAAGGGACGCGTGTAGGAACCAGGACAGTAAAATACTCTCCACTTCCACCTAGCTTGCTAATGGACACCACACCCCTGTACTTTTCTGTACAGGAATTTTCCCAGCAGCTACAACTCCCCTCCTACAGCCAGCTGGTGTGGACCTTGCTGGTACTGCGCACATTGCCCCTATGTTCTCCTGCAGGAGTCCATCCAAAGTGGCACCACAAGCATGGCAGTGAGCAAGCAGCCCTCACAGAGGTCAGCAGCACTCCAAAGTGACTTCTACTCTGGGGAGAGGGGAAGATAACCACTCAGACAATCCAGCTGTGGCTGTGCAGTGGGCTGGGGACAGACATCTGGTCTGACTGTAGGCCCTGTCCACCAACAGAAACTTCTCAGGGTATAATACAGGGAGGACACCCTGTAGTTTGGTGCTCCTGCAGTTCTGGCAAACACCTGGCGAACTTCCCTCAAGCCTAGGGCAGCCCACACTGGCCCACTAACAACACAGGGACCAAACGCTGCCCACAACAGGCAAAGGGAACCATTAGAGACGACTAGACTGAAAACACACGTCTTAGCCACAGTAGTAGGGCACATGCAACACACATACGAGACACCCCTGAAGCGCCAAGGTCTTAAGAATAGGAGACATTGCACTGCAGGGCACTACAGGATCTTCATAAGGCTATTGCTTTCAAGAGCAGGAAACATGGCTGACTTTCCTAACACAAAAACAGACATGGAGTGTTCGTCAAATGAGACAGGAGTATGTCCCAAGTGATAGAACAAAAAGGACAAAATCACAGCAGGAGACCTAAATGAAATGGAGATAAGTAATATGCCTGATAGAGAATTTAAAGTAATATTTATAAAGGTACTAGATAAACTAGGGTGAGTAAATCGAAGACTTGAAGAACAGGTCAGAGATCTGGAGGACAGAGTAAAGAAAAGCCCGCTTTTACTTTTTCCCCTTCTACCACTAGATTTCTTTCAGCCAAGATGTGAATTTTACATCGTCAAGGTTTACTTCTCTTTTCCAGTTATAACTGTCTTCCTTGTTTAATTTATAGGTCATATCTAACAAAAACAAGAGCATTTATAATTTTATCTTTGTTCCACAAAGTAACAAAGAAAGTGATCAGATGCTTAGAAAAGGGAATGTAATTTATGTTACCATGTTGTTTTGTTTCTGTCCCTTAATAGAAATGAGTCTCAAAATCAAAATGAATTCTCTTCTACTCCCTTGAATTCTCCCGTTTTATATACTTCGTATTTGGACTACAGCTTTGTTGTTTAGTGCTTTTCCTACTTTTTGAAATCCTTCTATAGTGTTCTGAATAGTGAAAGTACATCTAAATATGTCTTCATCCTGCGTGACAGTGATCAGTCCTTTTCTTCTGGTGTTGTCTTGGACTCCCGAATATCTCTTCTCTCTTTGAGCTTCCAATCAGATACATCTGTTGTACTGTTCATTCGTCTTTTAACTTGTTTTCACCCTTTGCTTTCTGTGTGCTTTTTGTGTGTTTGTTTCCCTCCTATAAATATTTGATTTATATATATATATATATTTAATTTTCCCGATCTCACAGTTTTCTAGTGGTTCCCTTTTTATAGCCGCTTATTCTTGTTTTTATGATGGTAAAATTTTCTCAAAAACTCTTCAGCAGGTTTTGTTTTTAATGCCCTTCTCTTTCCTGAATTAATGCCATTTCATCCTGAAATATCTGATGAACACTGAGAAATTATCTGGACTCCTTTGATAGGTTTCCGTTGCTGTTTTATAAGTAGGAGTTTTTCCTCATGAAGCCTCTCTCCCTCTTTTGATGATCAGATTTTGCTATATGAATATGTTTTTGAATTGGAGTTGGACTTCTCAGATGCCAGAATGAGGAGACTTTATTCTGGAGCTCTGATGCCTTCATTAGATGCTGTAGCTACCCTCACAGAGTGGATGGATCCATTTCTCTAGAACAGTGTTCTGGTTTTTGTTAAACAGTAGAGCGTGGTTTGGTGGAATGCCCTCTTTCTTCACCTACACACCTATCCACACACCTACCAAAAAGTTGAACAGCTATTCTGTGACTTATCTTTCAGTTGATTATCCTGTTTCCTTTTAGCCATCCACTGAAATGAGGAAAAGTTTCACCTGTGTAAGAAACCAAGCATCCCTACTCTGCATTCCTACCAACTCCAACCTAGAAGGCTCTCAAGGGCTCTGCTGAAAATATTGGCCCCCACTTCTCTTAGATCCTTGTAACTTTTTCCTGTGTGTATTTTGAACTTCATTTTGTTCTATCCATCACTATTTTTCTACTTCCTGTTTTCTGAACTTTTAAGAGCTTGTGTTTATTGATAACACCTCTGCACACCCTATAACCTGTCTTTACTTATTTAGTGGCTACCATTTTGGTGGACATTTTGGAGAGAGGGTAGGCAAATATACATGCTCATCCTGCCATTCTTAATTGGAAACTACTGAAGTGTAATATTAGATATACCATTGAAAAATTTTTTTTAAACTAATCTACCTTTTAGCTCTGTATCTTGTGGGTCCTGAATAGTTGACATGTTGAAGAAATAACTTAAAGTCAGTATATATACTGACTGAAAATTGTTTAACGTTTTAGAATCCAGGAGCTAATGTCTGATGATCAGCGAGAAGCAGGTCGGATTCCACGAACGATAGAGTGTGAACTTGTTCATGATCTTGTGGATAGCTGTGTCCCAGGAGACACAGTGACTATTACTGGAGTTGTGAAAGTCTCAAATGCTGAAGAAGGTATTGTATAATTCTTTTCTTATTTTGATTGTTTCTCAATAATTTGTCAGGATTCATCTTTTTTCAAAGTACTTTTGAATCTCCACAGATACAGGCAATTCCTTATTTCTTACATAGGTGAAACTTTTCCTTTAAAATACAAGTTTATATGTATTTTACTGTGCCTTTCTTTTTCGTGGTATTTGAGTCTTTGTAGGGAAAATGAAAATACCAATTATTATATTTCATACCTTGAAATTTACAGGTTCTCGAAATAAGAATGACAAATGCATGTTCCTTTTGTACATTGAAGCAAATTCTGTTAGTAATAGCAAAGGACAAAAAACAAAGACCTCTGAGGATGGGTGTAAGCATGGAGCATTGATGGAATTCTCACTTAAAGACCTTTATGCTATCCAAGAGATTCAAGCTGAAGAAAACCTGTTTAAACTCATTGTCAAGTATGTATGAGGTTATCTGAAGTTTTATTATGTATATGCAGGATAGGGGTGCTCTTGGCTACAAGAAACAAAAAATTAGTCAAAATGATTGCAAATTACAGTTCGCAGGTCAAATCCAGCTAACTGCCCATTAGCTAAAAATGGTTTTTACATTTTTTTTAATGGCTGAAAAAAAAGAATATTTCATGACACATAAAATCATATAAAATTGAAATTTCACTTCCTGTAAATAAACTTTTATTGGAACATAGCCATAATCATTCATTATGTAGGCCTGGCTGCTTTCCATTTATGTAGTGCCAGTGCCTGGCTGCAGTGGCAGAGCTGAGTAGTTGCAACAGAGAATAATAGCTCACAGATATTTACTGTCTGTACCTGTATGGAAAACTTTGTTGATCTCTAGTTTAATCTATAAAGAAAATTTACTATCTCACACTAGAAGTTGGTTACTCAACAAAGAGTGATGGGACTGTGAATTCCAGTCATTTCAATTAGTTGTATGTAGGGTGTTTACTTTTATTTTATTTATTTATTTTTGGGTGTTTACTTTTAAAAAACAAGGAGATTCACATAGAAGTCACTTACATTCACTAAGTATTTCATAATATTCTTTTATTTTCATGTTATTGCCATGTAGTAGAGAAGAAGCACAGTAGAGGCAATTTTTGCTTTTGTGGTTAAGACCTTTTTTTTTCTTTTTTCTTTTCTTTCTTTCTTTTCTTTTTTTTTTTTTTTTTTAAGATAAGCTAAGTTAGAATCCATCCCACTTCCAACGAGGTTGGGAGCATGTTACTTATTACCTCCTTCATTTTTCTCAAAATAGAACTAATTCTTGCCCAGAAGGTTGTCCCAAGATTACATGAAATTTAATAATGTATTTAACATAATTAACACAACATACCGATATTTTAAAACCTTTTAAACAATATTTTGGATATTTTGAAGAAATAGAGGAAAACAAGAGAGACTGAAAAATAGATGTACCTACGAGTAGTAAAGAACTGAGGTTTTGAAATGCATTGTATTAGAACACTTAACCCTGTCGTGTTTCCTTTATTTAGGCTTTGGGCACTAAATGAATTTGACTGTTTCTGCTTTTAATATGTTAGTCAATTGAGAAAGGATAGAGTTCCTCAGGGAGTCTTTAAACCCTCAGAGACTTCTGAATAGATAGCCATCCATACCTACCCTGGGAGAAGGGGTGCTCTGAGCTAGAGTAGGGTTGTGATCTGTGGATTAGGGACAGTGTGATGAGTGGGCTGTGAGCAGGTAGGGAAGAACCACCTGGTTGAAGATCAAAACACCGCTTTGGTTCCTCTTACCTGTTTCAAATAAGAATGAACCTGTACAGTGGTCCTTCTGCCATACTAGAAATGTTTTCTTTTCAGAGGTTGTTCTTACCCTTTAGTCCTAAATTTGTGATTTCAACATTAAAACTCGAATTTTTTATGGTCGTCCATTTTTAATCTTGCGGGGGTTGGCAGGCTGCCTGGTTTTGTAAATAAAATTTTATGGGAATACAGTGCCATCCATTCATCTACATAATTGCTTTTGCACAAGTTGGGTAGTGTGACCCAGACAGTAAAACTGAAAAGATTTACATTCTGGCCTTTTAAGAAAAAGTTTGTCTACCTTTGCTAGGTAGAAAAGGTATGAAAGGAGAATGGAGAAGACAATGGAAGGTTATGTTTTAGTTTTGGTTTCTTTAGAAGCAGTAATTTGGGTAAGCATTTATTTGGGAGGTGATCCCAGAAATACTGGTAAGGGAATGGGAGAGTGAGAAGGGATGGTAGTGTATGGTGCCTCAAAGAAGAGCTTACTACAAGCATCTGAGGCTTAATCCTCTTGAGGCCTCTAGAATACTAGACTGTGTAGAACTAGCCTCAGTATTTTTCCATCGAAGGGCCTAGTTTTACTAGGTGGTACTTTCAGCCTGCCCCACCTGCCTACTACTGAGGCTTCTGCCTCCAGAAAAAGCCCTTCAGCAGACAGGTGCAGGTGTGTGATCAGGAGCCACCATTGATTATGTGGGAACATGCTTAACACTGAGTACCGAGGGATGTGGCAGGACACTATCTTCTGTGTTTACAGGTATTAAAAGGGATAATGATCAAGCCTTTTTTGCTTGATCCTTGTTTTTACAACTGATAAATGTAAATATATTCACGTATTCATATATGATCTTATCCTGATCTTTTGAATTAAGGTGAAGTAATGACATTTTGTCTCATCTTAAGATACTCTTTACTCAGTTCACCTGTTAGCCTCCTTTCAGTGACTTGGCTACATAGAAGATGTGTGTTTGTGTAATATACAACATAATTCTGTATCCCGAAGGAAAGACAATGATTATGAGGTATTTTAAATGCTTGTGATAGATAACAGTCTATTTGGTTACTTTAGAATGCTTTGCAAAGGGGCACCTGGGTGGCTTAATCAGTTAAGCATCCAACTCTTTATTTGGGCTCAGGTCATGATTTCAGGGTCCTGAGATCTAGCCCATGTAGGGCTCCATCCACATTGGGTGTGGAGCCTGCTTAAATTCTCTCCCTCTCCTCTGCCCTCCCTGCCCCTGGTCTTGTGCTCTCTCTCAAAAAAATGAAAATAAAATGCAAGTATTTCGTCTCCTTTGTACATGTAAAATTTTTTTTAAGTGTTCTTGCCTTTATGGATTAACCAAGAATTTTGAGAAATTTACAGAGTAAAATGTCTTGAGTTGTTTGAGGGATGTAAATTTTATGTTTGTCTTTTTCTTTTTTTGATGCTAAATAAAGCAGGTTAAGCAAGTTGTAATGTAGATCTTCTAGTGGATTGATGCAGCATTAATAGGGATTTATAAATTGTATTCTGTTTTTCAGCTCACTTTGCCCTGTCATTTTTGGTCATGAAGTAAGTACTCTCCTTCATCTTTACTCAAAAACATAAAGTTGGCAAAAAGCTAATTGTTAGCCAGTTACTTGTATTTTAATATGTCATTATTCTCCATAAATGATGTGAAAGCCAGATTTCAGCTCCTTGTATGAACGATCTGCTTACTAATCTGAGCTAATAGGAATGAGGTACTCCTACAGTGACTTTGGGCACTAAGTGCTAAAGCGACAGCTAGCAGGTTATTTCCCAGTTTTGTGGAGTAGATTCATGCCTTGCAACGTAGGTCTTTACTCAGTGACTTTAACAATACCTCTTTGATTTTATGTGTTTCCTAATTTTTGCTTTTTAATCATTTACATTATGGAAGTTTATATTTTAAGTTAATTTTCTTAGGGAAAAAAAGTTCAATCATGCTTCAAAAAAAATTCTCAATTAAATGTAAATATAGAAGGAGAAGCATCCCTTTTTTGCTAGTCATCTTTATGTTTTTCTCACTTTTGAGGTTTTTCTTCCCCCTTCCCCCCCTTTTATACTTGAGCTTGTTAAAGCAGGTTTGGCATTAGCACTCTTTGGAGGAAGCCAAAAATATGCAGATGACAAAAACAGAATTCCTATTCGAGGAGATCCACATGTCCTTGTTGTTGGAGACCCAGGCTTGGGAAAGAGTCAGATGTTACAGGTAGGAAATTTCTCATCTAGTATTTCATGTATTCCTTATGAAACGTATAACTGATTCACAAGTGAATTTTCTTAAACCATGTAGTATTTTTATTCCAGAAGAAATAGTTGGTATGGGGGTAGAAGTGAATCGGGGTTTGTTTAAGTAATATGTCACTTCTGTCCAGGCATCCTTTCAAATAGAGCCCATTTTCTGTTCTATAGACTGTGCAGACATGATGGTCTGTTGAGATGTCAACCATTGTGAAATGTTAACCATTTCTCTAACCCCCTTTTTCTTTGGTATCAGCTTTGCTAGCAAAGCTAGGTGTTGTGACTTCACCTATGAACAAAATAGTTTGAGAAAGTAAAGAGCAGGGAAGCAGGTGTCCACACATCCTGTCTTCATACAACTACATAAACACTGTACTGAGCTTTAGGAACAGTCTGATAAAGGTAAGAGATCTATCTGTATGCATCTTCACTGCTGCTCTCTGATTTTAAAGCAAGGCAGCTTCTATGACCGGCTTCTTGCTGGTCCTCAAGAAGATTCTGCCTCTGCCAGTAGAACCTAGTGGTTCTCCTGTCCAGGGCTTATGATGGCCCTAAAAGGTTCTGCCTGTTGGAGTAGTTGTGGTTGCCTTGGGATTGACACTTGGTAAGCCAGTCATGGTGTCCTTTCTGAGAATACCCCTGTGTCCTATTCCCCACCACCCCCAGTGTAGACAAATGTGACTAGACCAGGGGTCTCTTTGGCAAGTTGTAGTCCTGTGGCTACTGAATCTTTGTCCAGGGGTTAGACCTTTGGCTGCATATCAGAATCACCTTTGGGACTCTGAAAATCCTGAGGCCTTCCCTAGTCTAACTGAACTAAGAGCCTCTGGATTAGGGTCCTAGTGTCTGTGTGTGTATAACCTTCCACAGGTGATTGTGCTGTGCAACCAGAATTGAGAACCGCCTTGACCTCATGATTGCATTATAAAACCACTGTCTTTCACGTCAGTCACTATTTATTCCTTATGCTTTATTGTTAAATCAGTCATCATTTTACTTCTACTCTGACATTTCATTTATATTTCCATGTTCCTTTGGACCAACTGGACCTATTTAAAAAAAAAAATTCAGTTCTGAGCCCTTGCTACAAGCCTGACAACTGAGGCACAGAGCACCCAGTTGTTAGGGAAACAATTGATAATGATAATGAAAACTGGATACCTAGCCAGATTGTGCATGTAAAAGGTACATGTGGGGACCTGAATTGTTATAGCTTATTTTCCTCTCTTTTATGTCCTTGCATATGTGTTTGATTTTTTAATTAGTGTATTATAGGTAGAAGCCTGGTTTAACCTCCACAGTGTTCATCTATACAAATAAACTTGTATTTTTCTTATTCCTTTTTTTAAAGATGTATTTGAGAGAGTGCGAGCACATGTGTACATACATGTCTGTGACTGCTAGCACAGTGAGGAGGGGCAAAGGGAAAGAGAGAATCCCAAGCAGACTCCTCACCAAACATGGAGCCTGATGTGGGGCTCAGTCCCACCACCCAGAGATCATGACCCAAGCCAAAATCAAGTCAGATACCCAACTGGCTAAGCCACCAGGTTCCCCCTTTTTTAGTTTAAGAAATAGATCTTGGCAGATAATGGTTTCAAAATACATTTAATAGTAGTGAAAAAAACTTAATACCAAGAAATGACATTGGCAATTTTTCATGTTTTTTAGGCCTGGAATAATGGCATTTATTCTAAAAATAAAAGCTGTAATATTAGCAGAAATTAAATGTTGTAAACAGTGGAGTGTATTGCATGTAAGTCTTCTAGCCCTGCTAAACCAGTTTTTAAAAGTTGGGCTAACACAGTTCTGAATTATTCACGATTATTATTATTATTATTGTTATTATTATTATTACTCACATTTTTAATCCTGTTTTCCTCTGACCATTTTATTAAGCCATCATCCTCCTCCTAGACTAATAAGGAATTATAAATAACAAAAATAATGACAGCTACTGTGTATAAGCTCAGCACCATAGGTTCACTTGGGTTAGGCACTGCACATGTCCAGAGTGCATTGTCGACATAGCAGTGTATTGTCTCCTGCAGTTGTGCAGTGCACAGCATACACAGTGGCCTTGCATTGGGCACTTATTTGTGCCAGGTACCAGATTAAGTGCCTTATATACATAATCTTATATATTTCTCAGGGATATATGTGATAAAACATAAAGAAGCTGAGGCTCAGAGAAATCTGAGAGCAGCAGAGCCAATAAAGGGTAAAGCCAAGATTTAAACCGGTCTGCCTGACTCTGGAGGTCCATGCTTTTAATTCTTGTGCTATTTAACCACTATTCTGACCTGCCATAGCTTGTTTACTCACAAGGAATGCATTATTAAGCCATCTTATTTCCTGATGTATATAGAAGCATTGAAGCCTTTGAGATTGAAATTGGCATTCATGTTTTGTCTGTTTGAACTTGGAAACAAAGCATCAGAGGCAGGCATCAGAGGCAGGCTGCCTGGGTTTATTTGAATTCTCACTTCATACTTTCATAGCAGTGTGAGTTACTCTGCAGGCCTTGGTTTCTATGTCACTAAAAGGGGATGTAATAATACCTTCCTATTAACTGTGGTAATGAGGGTTGTACAGTAAAGCTATTAGAACAATATTGACTTGGCATATAGCTGACATTTGTGAAGCAGTCACTTTATTTTTTCCCTTTTACTTTGGCTGATTCTTTTTATTATTTTTTTAAAGATTTATTTATTAGAGAGAGAGCACATGGAGGGGGCCAGTGAGGGCCAGGGGGAGATGTAGAGAATCCGAAGCAGACTCCATGCCCAGCATGGAGCCTGACATGGGGCTGTCTCACAACCCTGAGATCATGACCTAAGCCAAAACCAGGAGTCTGACGCACAACCGACTGTACCAATAGGTGCCCCTGGCTGATTCTTTTAAACCTTTTGTTTCTTTAGGCAGTATGCAACGTTGCTCCACGGGGTGTGTATGTTTGTGGTAATACCACAACTACCTCTGGTTTGACTGTAACTCTTTCAAAGGATGGTTCCTCTGGAGATTTTTCTTTGGAAGCTGGTGCCCTTGTACTTGGTGATCAAGGTAAGAGACCAAACTCTCCACTGTTTATAATATTTAATTTCCATTAATATTACAGCTTTTATTTTTAAATTGAGCCAAGGGTTTTAAAGGAATTATTCCAGGTCTAAATAATTAGTAATTCTGGAGCTTTGGGGTTTTGTTTTAGAGCCTTTTCCTTTCTAATTAATTTCTTTACATTCTGTTCAAGAGGCATTTGGATAGCATTGCATCAACCAGTGAGTTGAGAGTGAATGCCAGAAAAAAATCACTGGAAATACAGGTTATTATCACAGAACTGAAACTGGTACTTATTGTCATTCATTTTCAGAATCTTGCAACAGACACAATTATACATAAAAATCAATCAAGTCAAATAGGTATAGCTCGCTCCTGTACTTCCCATTTCATAACCACCATCACATTTTGTGATCTTTTGTTTTAAGCCTGTTTTAAAACTTTACAGTAAGTTCCCTGTGAGATGGGATTTGGTCATCCTGTTGACTGACATATTCCTATTGCCTAATACATAAGGTGCATAGTAAATACTTGCTGAATGCATTGCTATTACTTAGCCTAGAATAGTTTTAGATGCCTTGGAACTGAAAATAAAGTGAATGTTATCCTTTTACTCTCAGAGGATTTAAAATAAGAATTTAGAGCTATTACTTTATAATTAGAAGTTTTGCTATATTTTAACCCATCTTGTTGGATATTTTTCAGGATTTGACTTACAGTTTATAAGAAATTGAGTTGAAGGGCTCAGCAAGAAGGGATTTCTAATTAAGCTTTGCTACCTTTGTGATGCTATAACCCTATTGGAAAACATGTTCCTATGTATACGTCAGGCAATGCCCAGATTACAGTTCAGTTAAGTTCATTCATTCGTTTGTTTGCCAGTGACCTCCACTTCTGAATCCAGATCCTCTTAGCGCCTTCACCTGCCCCCTTTCCTTGATACCTTCCCTCTTTGGTTTCCAGGACATTACACTCTTCTGGTTTTCTTCTTACTTCATTGACTGGCTTCTCATTCTTGTTCTTTATCTCCCCAAACTTAAATGATTGGCACCTCCAGGTGCTTCATTTATGTACCTTTTTTCTTCTTAGTCTATGCTTACCTTCTTGATGATCTTCTCTAGTCTCATGAATTTGCGTATTTGCTGAAAATTTCCAAATGTATCGCTCTTCTTCCTTAAACTCCAGGCAGTGTTTCTTATTGCCTGTTATTTTTTTTAATAATAAATTTATTTTTGGTGTTCAATTTGCCAACATACAGAATAACACCTAGTGCTCATCCCATTAAGTGCCCCCCCTCAGTGCCTGCCACCCAGTCACCCCCACCCCCCGCCCTCCTCCCCTTCCACCACCCCTAGTTCGTTTCCCAGAGTTAGGAGTCTTCCATGTTGTCTTCCTGTTATTGCAGTATCTTTATAACTTCCTCAAACTTAACATGTCTAAAACTGAAATCCTGATTTCCCCTTCAAACCTATTCTTATATTTCTCATCTCAGTCAATGATAATTCCATCCATTGCTCAAATCAGAAAATGTGCAGTCATCTTTGACTTTTGCTCATACCTCATACCCAGTCTATCAATAAATATTGTAGGCTTTACCTTCCATTTATATCCAGCATCCAGCCACTTTGCCACTGCTGCTATCATCTCTTACATGGATTATTAGTGTGATCTCTTAGTTGGAAGCCTGGAACCACCCTTGCTCTATTGTTCTTAACAAGGCAGAGCAATCTTGTTAAAACTCAGATCAAGTTATTCTGATCAGAACCCCAGTGGCTCCCTATCTCACTCAGAGTGAAAGCTCAAGGTGTGTGTGTGTGTGTGTGTGTATTCTCTCATCTGTTTGAATGTAAGTCTTTAAGCTTTTTGAGGTTCACTCTCATATCTTCATTTTTTTAGCCCTCACAACACAGTGCCTTGGTTATGGAAAATGTTGAATGAGAAAGTATTACATAAAAGTTAAGACAAGTACTTTATTTGCTGTAAAACAAGCACAAAATCACAACTGTATGACATTTTACAATTTTAACTGCTAGAAACAATTGTAAATAATTCTTTATTATGAACAGTTTTCACCCTGTAAGATTTGGAACTCGATCAAAGAAAACTTTTTGTCTGTATTATTTTACTGTGATTGTAGGTATTTGTGGGATAGATGAATTTGATAAGATGGGGAATCAACATCAAGCCTTGTTAGAAGCTATGGAACAGCAAAGTATTAGTCTTGCTAAGGCTGGCATGGTTTGTAGCCTCCCTGCCAGAACTTCCATCATTGCTGCTGCAAATCCAGTTGGAGGACACTACAATAAAGCCAAAACAGTTTCTGAGAATTTAAAGTAAGTCTCTTCAGATATTTATACCTTTAATATATTGAATCCTTATAAATCAATAAGAAAAAGATAACTGAGGATATAATAGTTCACAGAAATGATAAGTTCCAGTAAATGTACAAAAACATGTTTGAGCACTACAAATTAAAACAACGAAATACTATTGATAGCTACCAAATTGGCAAACATTTTAAATATTAATGATCATTTTGGCACAGGGTTGGGGAAATGGATTCTCACATGTTCAGGTTAGTATATTGAAGGACAATTGACATGTTTTTCACTTTTTTTTTTTTTTTTAAGAGAAAGAGAGCATGAGCAAGTGGTGGGGGGTACAGAAGGAGAAGGAGAGAGAATCTCAAGCAGGCTCCATGCCAAGTGCAGAGCCCAACTTGGGGCTCAATCTCATGACCCTGAAATCATGACCTAAGCTGAAATCAAAAGTCAGATGCTTAACCCACTGAGCCACCCAGGTGCCCCCATTTATCACTATTTTAAATGTACATTCCATTTGTTTTTAGCCAGTTCTACTTTTAGGAATCATACCCACAGAAATAGTCACACAAGTGCACAGAGATATATTTACAGGTTGGGTATTATGGCATTGTTTATCACCCACCAAAAATTGGAAACAACTTAAAATGCCCTTTGATAAGGAAGTGGTTAAACTATGGCAAGGGTGTATAGTGGAAAGTAGCAATTACAAAAATGGAAGTAGCTTCATATGTGCTGATCTGTGCTTTACTGTTAAATGAAAAGAGCATATTATATTCTTCTAAATGGGGTATGATCACACTTTTCCAAAAACAAAGTTTGTATTTGTATGCATATATGCTTTCTCTCTAATTTGTTCTGTATAGATTGGACAAAAGGTATAGGAAGGGGGAAATAAATTGAAATAATGCAGAATTGAGAAAAAGAAAAAGAATGCCTCGTGAAAAATTGGGAGCTTAAATTCTAGAGGAAAAAAAATTTCCTAATGTTTGATAATGTGTACCTTTAATATAGAAATGATGCATAGGAAAATATATAATTGTACTTGGAGATGCTATACCACCACCACCAAAAATGTCAATCTATTAGTTTTTCTTAATAAAATGAAAAAGTGCTTTATTGGAAAGATCAGAAAGAGCCTATTGAATAAGGACTTGGATTCTGGTTTTTAGTGGTACCCAAACTTGCTTTGGGGCCTTGGCCAAATTCTTGAGCCACTCTGGATTTTAGTTTTCTTGTCTCAAATAGAAGGGTTTTCTGATTGGTGGGATCAGGGAAGATGACTAAGTAGAACATAGCATTTTTATTATAATGATTATAATGACTTTTTTTTTTTTTTTGAAGAGATGGAGAGAATGGGGACGGGAAGGAGAGAGGGAGAGGGAGAGAGAATCTTAAGCAGGCTGCACACCCAGCACAGAGCCTGATGCAGGGCTCAATCTCATAACCTGAAATCATGATCTGAGCTGACACCAAGGCTGGTGCTTAACCAACTAACCCACCCAGGTACCCCATTAACAATGACTTTTAAGAAAAAGTGGGGTTTCTAAGTGATCATAGATACATTGAGAGACTGTGTTTTGGTGAAAGAAAACACACAAAGGGTTAAAACCACCCAACTAGATAGTTTCTGATGAATCATATGGCATTTGTTTTAAAATTCAAAGTCACTGCAAAGCTCACCATCAGGTAGTAACATAGTACACAGAGATGGTGTAAGAAGGGGCCTTATTCTCAACCTACCAAAGGTAGGTGCATATATGGCTTGTTCGCCTATTGAAGGGTGTGTGGCCGGGTGTCTCTCCGGAATTGAGAGTTGGTGGATGTATTGAATCCAAAAGCTGTTGCTTGTTACTTTAACCTAAACTTTATTTTTTTTTAAAGTTCTACATGGAACTCGAGTAGTAAACAAGTGAGGAAACGGTTTTCTATTTGTTTAGATTCCAATCATTGTTGCTTCTTTCTTTTATGCCTCTTAGAATGGGGAGTGCCCTGCTGTCCAGATTTGATTTGGTCTTTATCCTGTTAGATACCCCAAATGAGGATCATGATCATTTACTCTCTGAACATGTGATTGCAATAAGAGCTGGAAAGCAGACAACTGTTAGCAGTGCCACCATAACTCGTATGAATAGTCAGGATTCAAATACTTCTGTACTTGAAGTAGTGTCTGATAAACCATTATCAGAAAGATTAAAGGTAGGTTTCTATTTCTTAATCTTTATTTCTGTTCTATTTGGATGTCAGTTCAGTATGTTGCTTATTGTAGAGCAGTAATATATAGCTTTCATATCAAAACCTTTTATATTACAGTAGTAGGCTTTATACAAACTTCATTTGAAATAATCTAAGTCGGTTAGACTCAGAGCTGGAACAACAGTATTTTGCTTATTTGGAAAGTCTTTTAGAATTTTATATGTATCTAAAGTTATTTTAACAGAAAGACTTTATTTCCCATTCTTGTAATCTTGGGCTTTTTTATCCTGCTTTAGGTAGTTCCTGGAGAAACAATAGATCTAATTCCCCACCAGCTATTGAGAAAGTACATTGGTTATGCTCGGCAGTATGTCTATCCAAGGCTATCCACAGAAGCTGCTCAGATTCTTCAAGATTTTTACCTTGAGCTCCGGAAACAGAGCCAGCGGTTAAATAGCTCACCCATCACTACAAGGCAGCTGGAATCTCTGATTCGTCTAACAGAGGTTTCTTTTTAAGTTCATGCTTTTTTGCCTTAAAAATGGGAGCAAGAAGTGATATGATTTCTCTCAATTTCCTGCATAATTACCTTGATTTTTCTTCCAACTGAGAGACATTTGAAATGAATAAAAATTTTTAAAAATTGTTTGGACATATCTGTATCACAACCAAAGTATAGCTACTTCTTTCTAAGCACAGGACTAGTTACTTATCATGCAACGTTTTTTCCCCCTTTTACTGACATTCAAGCCTCCAGGAGTGTGGCAAGTGGTTAGGTTATTTAAGGATTCTGAGACTCTCAGTTGAATATATGGGAACATGAATGTGTCAGTATTTGATTTGATATGACAGGTCTATAAGGATAGTATGTATTTTTCTAATAGTAATAACACTTATTCACAGTGTTATTTGGAATGCAAAAAGAACTCTGGCAGTTAAAATTAGCTGGAGCTTGGGCTTTTTGCATTTAAAATCAGGGCAGCCCAGGTGGCTCAGCAGTTTAGCGCCGCCTTCAGCCCACGGCGTGATCCTGGAGACCTGGGATCAAGTCCTGCATTGGGCTCCCTGCATGGAGCCTGCTTCTTCCTCTGCTTGTGTCTCTGCCTCTCTTTCTGCAGCTGTGTCTCTCATGGATAAATAAATAAAATCTTAAAAAAATAAAAATAAATAAAAATAAAATCAGATTAATCCTTCAATGTTGTTTTAACAAAATGGTTAGGCATGATTTCCCAAAAGTAAAAGACAAGGAGAAACCATAATCAAGTTTTCTGAAATGAACACTCCGAAAGATGTATGTTAGTAGATACAAATAGGTTTTCATTCATATTTTAAATGAGTGATTATTTTCATACTCAAATTTTCAGATAATTTCTATTCTAACTTTTTGTGTTACAGTCCCCTTTCCCCCCAAAATCAGATTTTGTGTAAAATGAATAAATGAAATAAGCTTCAACATTCCATGCCCTCCTCAAACAATGTTAAATATACATACTTTTGTTATCTAAAAATGCTTCTTTTTTCTTCCAAGGCACGAGCAAGACTGGAATTAAGAGAGGAAGCAACCAAAGAAGATGCTGAGGATATAGTTGAAGTTATGAAATATAGGTAAGATTAAATTTTAAATGCTGTTTTAAATGAAATACCAGTCCTCTTTTCATCTCAAATTATAAATTTAATTAGGCCAAGTAAAATTATTTTTACTTAGTCCATTTGTTCTCTGAATAAACTATACTCTTGGTTTAAAATATTTGTATGCATAATCTTTATATTAAAAATGTGTTTTCGAATGGGTAATACATTCACATAGTTCTAAACTCAATTCAGAAGTACATATTTTGAGAATGTTCAAAAGCAACAGTCTCATATGGGTAAAATCATTAACACTTGATGACTACCAATCCTTTCAATCAATTCCTAACATTACCTTTTGTCTATTGTATTGGTTTAATATTACACAGAGCTTGGACTATCAGTTTTCTCTTTTACACGATTCAGTACTAGGGTTTGTGGGGTCTTGTGGATGAAATTTTTACCAAGCTGGCATCATTCTCTCCAACTGACTTCATTGTGTTGGAGACCCTCCAGTTGCCATTTGTAAGCACCCAGATAACCTAGGAATGACTGTCTCAACAACATGCTGCCAGGAGTTCAGTGTACTAGCATATGACATAAAGGAATGGCCATAAATACCAGTTGTCTGCCTGACTTCCTGTAAACCAGACTAATAAACCTAGAGATGGCCCCAATAGATACCTTCTTTTCACTAGAAAACTAAGTCAGTGAATCTAACCAAAATTCCAGATTCTAACTTTTTTTCCCCAATTAAAATCAAGGACCAATAGTAAGGACTTCTTGTTTAATGACAAAAAGTTGCCACTTTGTTTACAATCTTTCTGAGCATCTTGCTCTTAAACTCTCCATCTTTGAGGGTGGAGCTAACATTGCTACTCCTGGTTTCCTTTTCCATTTAATGATCTCTCACCCTCTGGGCCTTCTGGTGCCTGGCTTTACTGAACAATGTTGTATGCACTATACTTTGGCTTTCTAGCAAAATCAGGGATCCAGTTACCTTGTCATCCTCTCTTACCTGTAATATTCTGTTTTTGAAGCTTTACCCTTACTTCCCCTAGGCCTCAGATCAGACCCTAGACACTGACTCAAGCAGTCATCTGGTATTTCTCCACAATAAGTCCACTGGTCTGATTTGTTCTCATATCTGAGCATTATGCTTAAGATAAATTATGCTTTAAACCATTTCAATAAAAATCTTGTATTTCTCATTTATAATTGGTTCTGCGTGTCTGAAATCCTGACATCAGTGTTTATATATACTTTTCCATCCAAGAGGAACTCTTCAGCATTTCTTGTAGAACTTTGTATTTGTTTCTACTGCTTCTCAGAGTTGCCTTGCTTGTAACTGAATTAGGCTGTCAGTTTACTTCTGGGCTTCTGAAAAAAAAATCTCATTGTTAAGTATAAACAGTGAGATATGAATTTGTTTCCTTGAATTCAATGTGCTTTACTGGCTTTCATAAAAATTTTCAGATAATGAGAATAGTTTGATTCCTAGTGATTAGAATTACCTGCGGTTAGTTCCATAGTAGATTTCGAGACCCAGTTAAACACGTTGAGACTAGATTGTGAATTATTGTTTGTTACACTTACCATGCTTTCTGACCTTAGTCTATACTCTGTGAGAGCAGGGCCCTTATCTGTTGTATTTACCAGTATACTTCCAGGATCCAGGATCATACTTTAGCACAGTATGCCCTCAGTAAATGTACTGCATTGATAGTAAAGTTGACCTTTAGTAATCATCTTTTATTTATTAACTCTTCCATTTCAGAGTTTTCTCTTGAGTTTTTGAATGTTTGCCCTTAATGTGGTTTTGAACCTGTAAAATTACATTTTAACTTGGAAGCAGAGGGATCCCTGGGTGGCGCAGCGGTTTGGCGCCTGCCTTTGGCCCAGGGCGCGATCCTGGAGACCCGGGATCGAATCCCACGTCGGGCTCCCAGTGCGTGGAGCCTGCTTCTCCCTCTGCCTATGTCTCTGCCTCTCTCTCTCTCTCTCTCTGTGTGTGACTATCATAAATAAATAAATAAATAAATAAATAAATAAATAAATAAATAAATAAATAAATAACTAACTAACTAACTAACTAACTAACTAACTTGGAAGCAGAGCCAAAATAAGACAAGTCAAAACTGTGAGATACAGTTCATCATAGTAAAGCACATAGCTATAAAAACTAAATGTTTATGAGCAAGGGTAAACATGTTTTCTTTAAAATTAAAAATATACCAGGAAGTACAGGAGAATAGAGCCACCTTCAAAGATGAAAGATAATTGAGTTTTTTCTCTTTTAGGAAAGTGGCTCAGATATTTATAAATCTTCACATCTGAAGCCATATAGCTGAGATTCAGATCCCAGATATGCCACTCATTGGCTGCATAACCTCTGGCAAGTCACTCACCTTACTAGACTTTGCTTTTTCATTTGTAAAATGGGAATAAGAATAGTACCTACATCAGGGGATTGTTGTACTAAATGGGATAGCATATGGTGATTACGGTAATAAATATTAGTTGTTAATAGTTAACTTAGTAGCTTAAAGCATTTTTGAAAAAGTATCTTAAGAGGAATAAGCTCTTAATATTTATTTACATTAATTATATTATGTTAATTATTTATTATAGTCTTATTTGGATGACTCATTCCTATTTGTATAGCTTTCTCTTTCATGTAGGCTCTTATTATTCAGGGAACAAAATGAAGCTGTTTTTAGTAATTCTGTAAACTCCTTGCCATAAGCTCCTTAAGGGCAGGAAATATTACTGTTTTATTCACCACTGCAAGTCTATTGCCTAGCAAGTGTCCCAATTTATTTTGATTAACCAAGTCCTGATTAAATAACATCTTTGCCTGTAAGCCTTGCTATGGGATTGTATCTGTTCCATTGTACAGGCAGGGAATCAGCCATTAAGCTGGGTTACAGATGATGGCTAACTGTATCTCTGGTGTTTTCAGACTTCTGGCTAAAATCTACTATAAAGTACATATGTCTTTCTTTGATGATATTGTGAAAATAAGATTAAGCATAAAAAATGGAAATAATAGGTAGATCCTTTCATCATTACTGCAAGCCTTCTAGTTCATTCCCACAGTATTTTTAAACATCTTTGATTTGTCAGATGCTACACTAGGAGCTGGGAACATACCTTTATCCTCTAAAGCCTAGATTTACTATGTTTAGAATTTCATTTTTTTTTTTCATGAATCAAAAAGAATGGTCCAGGTATTTATATCCTAGTGTATCAACTTTGTATTCTTTGGCCTTTCTCTTCTCATATGTTTCTTAAAAGTGGTAACTGTGTCCAAAAATGTTTTTATCTCCACATAGTTCATACCATAGTGAATTTCATAGTGGCCATTTAGTGAATACATGTTTAAATCTTTGCTATATGAGCCTCATGGTTACTTCCACAGTTTTCTTTTTATAACCTGGAACAAAGATTTCTATAGCCATGCCACATGGGGTAACTTTGTTTTTCTTTCTTCTCATTAAGCATGCTAGGAACTTACTCTGATGAATTTGGGAACCTAGATTTTGAGCGATCCCAGCATGGTTCTGGAATGAGCAACAGGTCAACAGCAAAAAGATTTATTTCTGCTCTCAACAACATTGCTGAAAGAACTTACAATAATTTATTTCAATTTCAACAACTTCGGCAGATTGCCAAAGAGCTAAACATTCAGGTATGGCAAACCAAATACTTAATAAATCTTTTTTATGACAATTTCATGAGGTCTTATATTAAGTATAGAACTTCTAAATGTCAAAAAGATTTGGGTGACTATGGAAAACAGTATGAAAGTTCCTTAAAAAATTAAAAATAGAATTACCCTATGATTGGGGTGCCTGGGTGGCTCAACCAGTTAAGCATTTGCCTTTAGCTTAAGTCATGATCCCAAGTCAGGCTCCCTGCTCAGTGGGAATCTGCTTGTCTCTCTCCCTCTGCCCCTCCCTGCCCCTTGTACTTTCTCGTGTGTGCTCTCTCTCTTTCCAATAAATCTTTTAAAAAAATAGAAAGGAGGGGGATCCCTGGGTGGCGCAGCGGTTTGGCGCCTGCCTTTGGCCCAGGGCGCGATCCTGGAGACCCAGGATCGAATCCCATATCGGGCTCCCGGTGCATGGAGCCTGCTTCTCCCTCTGCCTGTGTCTCTGCCTCTCTCTCTCTCTGTGTGACTATCATAAATAAATAAATTAAAAAAAAAATTAAAAAAAAAAAAATAGAAAGGAATCACCCTATGATCCACCATTCACACTATTGTGCAGTTACCCAAAGAATACACAAACACTAATTCAATGGGATATATGCACTGCTGTGTTTATTGCAGCATTATTTACAATAGCTAAATTATGGAAGTGACCTAAGTGTCCATCAATAGATGAATGGATAAAGAAGATGCAATAAACACACACACACACACACACACACACACACACACACACACACACTGGAATATTACTCAGCCATTAAAAAAACGGAATCTTGCCATTTGCAACAACATGGATGGAGCAGGAGAGTATAATGCTAAGCAAAAGAAGCCAGTCAGAGAAAAATAAATACCATATGATTGCATTCATATATGGAATTTAAGAAAACAAATGAACAAAAAAAAAAAGAGAGAGAGAGAAAGACAAACCAAAAACAGACTCTTAACTATAGAGAACAAACAGTAACCAGAGGAGAGGTCAGAGGTGGAGATGGGTGAAATAGGTGAAGGGGATTAAAAGTACACTTTATGAGGGATACCTGGCTGGCTCAGTTGGTGGGGTATGCAACTCTTGATCTCAGGATTGCAAGTTCAAACCCCATACTGGGTGTAGAGATTACTTAAAAAATAAAAATCTTTAGGGGTGCCTGAGTTGCTCAGTTGGTTAAATATTGGACTCTTGATTTTGGTTCAGGCCATGATCTCAGGGTCCTGAGATTGAGCCCTGCATTGGACTCTGCAATCAGTAAGGAGTCTGCTTAAGATTCTCTCCTGCCCCCTCCCATGTGCGTACTCGCACACATGTTTTCTCTCTCTCTCTAATAAGTAAATCTTTAGAAGAAAAAAAATCTTAAAAAAAAAAGAGTACACTTATCATGAGGAGCACTGAGTAATAGAGAGAATGGTTGAATCACTCCATTGTACACTTGAAATGAATATAACACTTAACTATACTGGAATTAATAAAATGGAGATTGAAAAAAATAAAGATTTGGATGAAAAGGTTGGAATAGGCTTTTCTGGGGTATTTCAAAATATAAGCTTATTTTCTTTAAGCTATGAAATTAGCTGCTCAGAGCTTTAAAAAATTTTTATCTAAAACACATACCTATCTCTTTTTAAATATCTTGACAGTGGGGGAAACAGCAAGATTCACTTTCCATGTTTTTCTGACAATCCCTTGTGGGCAAGTCATCTTAACATCTTTGTGGGGTTGTTTTGTTTTTTACATTTTTAAATTTAAATTCAGGGCAGCCCCTGTGGCGCAGCGGTTTAGCGCACCTGCAGCCCAGGGCATGATCCTGGAGACCCTGGATCGAGTCCCACGTCAGGCTCTCTGCATGGAGCCTGCTTCTCCCTTTGCCTGTGTCTGTGCCTCTCTCTCTCTGTCTCTATGAATAAATAAACAAAATCTTAAAAAACAAAACAAAGCAAAACACTGAGCATACAAGGAAGAAATTATAAAAAGAAATTAAATTAATATATATAGTGCATTATAGTTTCAGAGGTAGAAGTCAGTGATTCGTCAGTCTTATATAACACCCAGTGCTCATTCCATTACATGCCCTCCTTAATGTCCATTACCCAGTTACCCTATACCCCCACCCCCTTCCCCTGCATCAACCCTCAGTTTGTTTCTTATGATTAAGAGTCTCTTATGGTTTATCTCCATCTCTGATTTCGTCTTGTTTTATTTTTCCCTCCTTTCCCCTATGATCCTGTTTTGTTTCTAAAATTCCACAAATGAGTGAAATCATATAATTGTCTTTTTCAGATTGACTAACTTCACTTAGCATAATACCCTCTAGTTCCACCCACATTGTTGCAAATGGCAAGATTTCATTTTTTCGATGGCTCAGTAGTATTCCATTGTGCGCGTGTGCGCACGTGTCTGTATATATCACATCATCTTTATCCATTCATCTGTCAATGGACATCTGGGCTCTTTCCATAATTAAGCTATTGTGGACGTTGCTGCTATAAACATTGGGGTGCAAGTACCCCTTTGGATCACTACATTTGAATCTTTGGGGTAAATACCTAGTAGTGCAATTGCTGGCTCATAGGGTAGCTCTATTTTTAACCTCTTAAGGAACCTCCATACTGTTTTCCAGAGTGGCTGCACCAGCTTGCATTTTAACAGCGTAAGAGGGTCCCCCTTTCTCCACATCTTTGCTGACATCTGTAGTTTGCTGACTTGTTAATTTTAGCCATTCCGACTGGTCTGAGAGGTCCTATCGCATTGTGGTTTTGGTTTGTATTTCCCTGATGCCGAATGATGTTGAGCATTGTTTCACGTGTCTGTGGGCCATCTATTGTCTTTGGAGAAATGTCTGTTCATGTTTTCTGCCCATTACTGATTGGATTATTTTTCTTTGGATGTTGAGTTTGATAAGTTCTTTATAGATTTTGGGTAGTAGCCCTTTATCTGATAAGACATTGTTGGTTATGTTTTGGTTTTGTCAGCTATTTCCTTTGGTGTGCAAAAACTTTTTATCTTGATGAAGTCCCAGTAGTTCATTTTTGCCTTTGTTTCCGTTGCCTTTGGAGACGTGTCTATCCAGAAGTTGCTGCAGCTGAGGTTGAAGAATTCGCTGCCTGTGTTCTTCTCTAGGACTTGGATGGATTCTTGTCTCACATTTAGGTCTTTCATCCATTTTGAGTCTGTTTTTTGTGTATGGTATAACAAAATGGTCTAGTTTCATTTTTCTGCATGTGGCTGTCCAATTTTCCCAATACTATTTGTTGAAGAGAGTGTCTTTTTTCCATTGGATATTCTTTCCTGCTTTGTCGAAAACTGGTTGACCACAGAGTTGAGGGTCCATTTCTGGGTTCACTATTCTGTATCATTGATCTATGTGCCAGTCCCATATTGTCTTGATGATTACAAGTTTGTAATAGAGCTTGTAGTCTGGAATTGTGATACCACAAGCTTTGGTTTTCTTTGTCAACATTCCTTTGGGCTATTTGGGATCTTTTCTGGTTCCATACAAATTTTAGGATTATTTGTTCCAGCTCTGTGAAAAAAGTTGATAGTATTGCATTGAATGTATAGATTGCTTTAGGTAGCATAGACATTTTAACAACATTTGTTCTTCCAGTTTATGAGCATGGAACGTTTTTCCGTTTCTTTCTGTCTTCCTCAGTTTCTTTCATGAGTGTTCTGTAGTTTTCTGAGTATAGATCCTCTGCCTCTTTGGTTATGTCATTCCTAGGTATCTTACGGTTTTTGGCATAATTGTAAATGGGATCAACTCCTTAATTTCTGTCTCATTGCCAGTGTATAGAAATGCAATGGATTTCTGTGCATTGATTTTATATCCTGCCACTTTGCTGAATTCCTGTATGAGGTCTAGCAATTTTGGGGTGGAGCCTTTGGGTTTTCCACACAGAGTATTATGTCATCTGTGAAGAGTGAGAGTTTGACTTCCTCTTTGCTGAATCAGATGTCTTTTATTTCTTTTTTTTGTCTGATTGCTGAGGCTAGGACTTCTAGTACTCTGTTGAACAACAGTGGTGAGCGTGTATATCTGTCGTGTTCCTGACCTTAGGGGAAAAGCTCTGCATTTTCCCCATTGAGAATGATATTCACTGGCTTTTCATATATGGCTTTTATGATATTATGGTATATTTCCTCTACCTCTACATTGTGAAAAGTTTTAAGAAAGGATGCTGTACCTTCTCAAATACTTTTTCTGCATCTATTGAGAAGATCATATGGTTTTTGTTCTTTCTTAATGTAGTGTATCACATCAGTTGATTTGTGGATGTTGAACCACCTTTGCATCCAGGAACAAATCCCACTTGGTCATGGTAAATAATCCTTTTAAGTATTTTTGGATTCTATTGGCTAGTATCTTGGTGAGAATTTTGGCATCCATGTTCATCAGGGATATTGGTCTGTAATTCTTTTTGGTGAGATCTTTGTTTGGTGTTGGGATCAAGGTAATGCTGGCCTCATAGAGTTTGGAAGTTTTCCTTCCATTTCTATTTTTTGAAACAGCTTCAGTAGAATAGGTATAACTCTTCTTTAAATGTTGGGTAGAATTCTCCTGGGAAGCCATCAGTTCTAGACTCCTCTATTTGTTGGGAGGTTTTTGATTACTTCTTCAATTTCCTTGCTTGTGGGTCTGTTCAGGTTTTCTATTTCTTCCTGTGTCAGTTTTGGTAGTTTATACGTCTCTAGGAATGCATCCATTTCTTCCAGATTGCCTAATTTTTTGGCATATTGTTGCCCATAATATGTTCTTAGAATTGTTTGTATTTCTGTGGTATTGGTTGTGGTCTCTACTCTTTTCTACATGATTTTATTTATTTGGGTCCTTCCTCTTTTTGATAAGTATGGCCAGAGATTTATTGATCTTATTAATTCTTTCAAAGATCCAGCTTCTAGTTTCGTTGATCTAGTCTACTGTTCTTTTGGTTTCTATTTCATTGATTTCTGCTCTAATCTTTATTTCTCTTCTCCTGATGGGTTTTGGCTTTCTTTGCTATCTTTCTCCTTTAGGTATAAGGTTAGTGTATTTGAGACCTTTTTTGTTTCTTGAGAAAGGTTTGTATTGATATATACGTCCCCCTTAGGACTGCCATTGCTGCATCCCAAAGGTTTTGAATGGTTATGTTTTCATTTTCATTTGTTTCCATGAATTTTAAAAAATTCTTCTTTAATTTCCTGGTTGACCCATTCATTCTTTAGTAGGATGCTCTTTAACCTCCCATGTATTTGAATTCTTTCCACATCTCTTTTGATTGAATTCAAGTCTCAAATAGGCAGGAAATGATCCCAGTCTCTTGCTATCAGTTGAGACCTGATTTGTGACCAGTATGATCTATTATGGAGAATGTTCCGTATATACTCAAGAAAAATATGTATTCTTTTGCTTTAGGATGAATGCTCTGAATATCTCCGTGAAGTCCATCTGGTTGAGTATGTCATTCAAAGCCCTTGTTTCCTTGTCGATCTACTGCTTAGATGATCTATCCATTGCTGTGAGTGGGGTGTTAAAGTCCCCTTCTATTATTGTATTATTATTGATGTGTTTCTTTAATTGTGTTACTAATTGGTATATATAATTGGCTGCTCTCATGTTAGGGGCATAAATACAATTGTTAGATCTTCTTGTTGGATAGACCCTTTAATTATGATAGAGTGTTCTTCCTCATCCCTTATTATAGTCTTGGGTTTAAAATCTAGTTTGTCTTACATGTGGATTGCAACTCCAGCTTTCTTTTGGTGTCCATTAGCATGGTAAATGGTTTTCCACTCCCTCACTTTCTATCTGAAGGTGTCTTTGGGTCCAAAATGGGTCTCCTGCAGACAATATATCCATGGGTCTTGCTGTTTTATTCCAATCTGATACCCTGTGTCTTTTGATTAGGGCATTCAGCCCATTTACATTGAGAGTAACTACTGAAAGATATGAATTTAATGCCACTGTATTACCTGTAAAGTCACTGTTTCAGTATATTATCTCTGTTCTTTTCTGGTCTATGTTACTTTTGGGCTCTGTCTTCCCATAAAGGATCCCGTTTACTATTTCTTGCAGGGCTGGTTTAGTGATCATAAATTCTTTTAGTTTCTGTTTGTCCTGGAAGCTCTTTATCTCTCCTTCTATTTTGAATGACAGCCTTGCTGGATAAAGTATTCTTGGCTGCATATTTTTCTCATTTAACACCTTGAATATATCATGCCAGTTCTTTCTGGCCTGCTAGTTCTCTCTGGATAGACCTACTGCAGTCTAATGTTTCTACCCTTTTAGGTTACAGACCTCTTGCCCCAAGCTGCTTTCAGGATTTTCTCTTTGTCTCAGATTTGCAAGCTTCACTATTACATGCCGAGGTATTGACCTATTTTTGATTTTGAGGGGGTGGCTCCCTGTGCCTCCTGGACTTGAATGCTTACTTCTTTCTTTCCCCAGATTAGGGAAGTTCTCAGTTATAATTTGCTCCACTGTACCTTCTACCCTTCTCTATCTTTCCTCTTCTGGAATCCTCTTCTTCTGGGATTATTCTAATATTATTTCACTTTATGGTATCACTTATTTCTTGAGTTCTCTCCTCGTGATCCAGTAGTAGTTTATCTTTTTCTCAGCTTCTTTATTCTCCATCATTTTGTCTCCTAGATCACTCTCTCTTCTGCCTCATTTATCCTAGCATTTAGAGCCTTCATTTTTTATTGCATTTCATTATAGCCTTTTTGATTTTGACTTATTTTGTTTCTCCAGAAAGGGACTCTATAGTGTCTTCTATGCTTTTTTTTCAAACCCAGCTAGTATCTTTATAATTGTTATTCTGAACTCTAGTCCCGACATCTTACTTATATCCACACTGATTAGGTCCCTGGCAGTCAGTACTGCCTCTTATTCTCTTTTTTGAAGTGAGGTTTTGTTTTGTCATTCTTGCAGAAACTGGTTGCTTTTCTATTTGTAGAATTGCAGTTCTTTTCTTAGATCCCTGGCTGAGTTCACAGGTGTTCAGAATGATTTGATAGCTGTAATTCCTGGAGCCAGACAGCTCTACCTACTTAAAAGTTTTAGTGAAGATGGATGTAATACAACTTTAAGCGTGTAAAAGTTTATATGGAAAATTGCCTAATAAATTTCAAAATTGAAGCTACTCTAATTTTGTTTTTGAAGCTAATCTAAAACAAATATAAAAAATACTCTGGGTAATGGAGTTTCTGCTTTTTTTTTTATTAGCTCAGCTAATCAACTAGAATATAATCATAATAAAATTAAAGACTTATATGTAAGCAGTTTTCTCTATGAGGAAGTACAAATAAATGTATTTGCCCAAGAAACTTGAGAAATGTTTATTTCTGTTTGAGTGATTCATTTTATAAATCATATTTTTGCATATTACTTAATGGGCTGTTTTTTGATACTTTATTCCAGGTTGTTGATTTTGAAAATTTTATTGGATCACTAAATGACCAAGGTTACCTCTTGAAAAAAGGCCCAAAGGTTTATCAGCTTCAAACTATGTAAGTGGACTACCGAACCAGGACCTCCTGGGATTATTAGCAGTTTAAAACCATCTCATAAATAAACAAACAAACCATCTCATTAATAAACAATATCTTAAAAAAAAATACTGTTCTCTGGAAAATGATGTCCTAAAACTAATGTAATACGAAGAGACTGTTGATTTTTAAGAAGTGATAAAGTTACGTGTTTATTTTTTACAGCACCTCTGAAAGATTAAAAATGTTTATATTTTAATGATGTAAATATATATTATTCATATTGTTATTTTTGACCTCTTTTATTCTTATAAATATCTCATAGTTTTTCATATTAAATGTCCATCTGGGTAAGTATTCGCAAAATTACATCTTAATGTTTAATTAGTTCTGATACACAAAAACTGAATACCTTTAGAAATAAATTGAAACCAACTTTCAGTTCCAAAAAAAATTGGAGATATTTTTTATTGACATATTTAACATCTTAGCTACTAAAAAAATTTTAAACTATATTATGTTGTATTACCAAAGTTAAATACGTACTTGTTTTAAGTCAATAGCTGTGCAAGACTTATATAAAACTAAGGAGCCTCATTAACTTAGCACACAGAAGGTGAGATGCTCTTCTTCTCTAAACCCTCTGCACACGCGCACACACACACACACACACACACTTTCCCATTTCATTCCAATTTAGTTATGTCTTGATTTTTCATTAAATCTATATTTAGCCGTAACGTTATTATGACTATTGAATATTACTCATTTCCTTTCTGGTACTGGACTTCTGTTTTCCTTAGAGTTAATAATTAATTTGTTTTTCAGCTATTTAACTTTCTCTGTATCTACCAGTAATTTGGTCCTGAGGCTCCACTGTACGTCTAAGTCTCCTCTCAGAACATGCAAACAAATCAAATCTATTTTAACTTCTTTGAAACCTCTTCTGGATTTCTCTAGCATTTTCTCCAGCTACATCTTGAGACTTCTCATTTTCTGTCCCATTTCCTGGCTTTTATGTCATCCTCTTTCTTGTTTCACTGACTCCTTTTGGTAGAACCTATCTTTTCTAGTAGCTTCCTGAGAACAAGTTCATAAGGCAAATTCTACCCTTACCCCTGAATTGATAGTTTGGGTATAGAATTTTAGTTTGTAAAACTAAAAATAGATGTTGCTCTATTGTTTTTAGTTTTCAGTGTTGCTGTTTAGAAATCCAAGGCCATTATGATTTTTATTCTTGGCATGTGAACTTTTTTCTCTTCTTGGGAAGGTACTGGATCTTTCTTTTCCCAGGTATTCTGAAATTTTATGTTTAATAACTATCCTGGTGGTTTCTCATGCCAAAAATATTGGTGTTATCTTTACCTCTTTTTTTCTTTTATCTTCTTATCAGTCCATCAGTAAATTCACTCAGCACTTTTAGTTACTTCCAGTTCCATTACTCTGGACCAAGCTACCATCTCTTATTCCGCCTTGTAAGGACAAAGATTTTGCTTTATTCTGTTGCTTCTGTCCCAGCAGGTAGGACAGATTTTGACACATACCCCTATGCTGGATACACATACAGTGGGTGATTATACCATTTATAAATGGGGACACAGAACTTAAAGTAGGTAACCAACTTTATTTAAGAATACGAAAAATAACAAGAGAATAAACGGTTTCTAGCAACAAGATGGAGGCATTCTCCCCTTTCGCTCCTGTGAAGTTGCTCAAAACCAATAAGGAAACTGAAAGATAAAAATATATAGTGCATCTTCTATGAACCAGAAAACAACTGAACCCCCAAACTCTAACATACTAGGAAAAGCTGCCAAAAACTATGAGGATGATCTAGGTAGCCTTACAAGAGGGAAGAGGCTGAGATGATGTCTGGTGGTGAATACTGTAGAATAAACCAACAAAGTATTTCTCTTAAAATAAGCTTTATACTCCATTTGGGGCAAAAAGTAAAACCCTGTGCAATAGTGTGAATATGCCATACAGGTTGACAGCAGCAGCTTCTCAGGATCTTGCTGGATTACAGAAACAGAAGAAGAGAGGTTCAATGAGAAGTCACACAGATAAGCTACCTTGAAGGAGAAAAAAAAATCTGGCTGTTCTCAAATTTCTCTAAAGCAATATTTATCAATAAAACAATGGAGCAATGCCTACAAGATTTTTAAGAAAGAATTTATACCCAGATGTTTTAGTCAGGTTTCTTAATTGCAAACCAAGAGTCCAACTTTTTCTGTACAGGGCCAAATAGTGAAAATTTTGGCTTTCTGGGCTCTGTGGTCTATCGCAAATACTCAGTCATTTTAGCTCTAAAGCAGCCATACATAATAAACGGGTGTGGTTGTGTTCCAATACAACTGTATTCATGAACACTGAAATCTGAATTTCATAAAAATTTCATTCTGAGAATGCTATATCTTTTTTTTTAATTTTATAAATATTTTTATTGGTGTTCAATTTACCAACATACAGAATAACACCCAGTGCTCATCCCGTCAAGTGTCCCCCTCAGTGCCCGTCACCCATTCACCCCCACCCCCCGCCCTCCTCCCCCTCCACCACCCCTAGTTCATTTCCCAGAGTTAGAAGTCTTTATGTTCTGTCTCCCTTTCTGCTATTTCCCACACATTTCTTCTCCCTTCCCTTATATTCCCTTTCACTATTATTCATATTCCCCAAATGAATGAGAACATACACTGTTTGTCCTTCTCCGGTTACTGTGGCCAAGTTCAAAAAGGGTGTTGCCTGAGTTCTCCTCTGGGATTTTGATGGAATCTTGTCTCACATTTAGATCTTTCATCTATTTTGAGTTTATCTTTGTGTATGGTGCAAGAGAGTGGTCCAGTTTCATTCTTCTGCATGTGGATGTCCAATTTTCCCAGCACCTTTATTGAAGAGACTGTCTTTCTTCCAGTGGATCGTCTTTCCTCCTTTATCGTATATTAGTTGACCATAAAGTTCAGGGTCCACTTCTGGGTTCTCTCTTCTGTTCCATTGATCTATATGTCTGTTTTTGTGCCAGTACCACACTGTCTTGATGAACACAGCTTTGTAGTACAACCTGAAATCTGGCATTGTGATGCCCCCAGATATGGTTTTCTTTTTTAAAATTCCCCTGGCTGTTTGGGGTCTTTTCTGATTCCACACAAATCTTAAAATAATTTGTTCTAAGTCTCTGAAGAAAGTCCATGGTATTTTGATAGGGATTGCATTATACGTGTAAATTGCCCTGGGTAACATTGACATTTTCACAATATTAATTCTGCCAATCCATGAGCATGGAGTATTTTTCCATCTCTTTGTGTCTTCCTCAATTTCTTTCAGAAGTGTTCTATAGTTTTTAGGGTATATTTTGAGAACCATTTGAATGGTAAATGGTTCTCCAACCTTTTATTTTCAGGTTGTAGGTGTCCTTCTGTCTAAAATGAGTCTCTTGTAGACAGCAAATAGATGGGTCCTGCTTTTTTATCCAGTCTGAAACCCTGCGCCTTTTGATGGGGTCATTAAGCCCATTCACGTTCAGAGTTACTATTGACAGATATGAGTTTAGTGTCATCATGATATCTATTTAGTCCTTGTTTTTGTGGATTGTTCCACTGAACTTCTTCTTAAAGGGGAGTTTTAAGAGTCCCCCTTAAAATTTCTTGCAGAGCTGGTTTGGAGGTCACATATTCTTTCAGTTCCTGCCTGTCTTGGAAGCTCTTTATCTCTCCTTCCATTTTGAATGAGAGCCTTGCTGGATAAAGTATTCTTGGTTGCATGTTCTTCTCATTTAGGACCCTGAATATATCCTGCCAGCCCTTTCTGGCCTGCCAGGTCTCTGTGGAGAGGTCTGCTGTTACCCTAATATTCCTCCCCATGAAAGTCAGGGACTTCTTGTCTCTTGCTGCTTTAAGGATCTTCTCTTTATCTTTGGAATTTGCAAGCCTATTGTCGGTGTTGAACGGTTTTTATTGATTTTAGGGGGGGATCTCTCTATTTCCTGGATCTGAATGCCTGTTTCCCTTCCCAGATTGGGAAAGTTTTCAGCTAGGATTTGTTCAAATACATATTCTGGCCCTCTGTCCCTTTCGGCGCCCTCGGGAACCCCAATTAAGCGTAGGTTTTTCTTCCTTAGGTTGTCATTTATTTCCCTTAATCTGTCTTCATGGTCCCTTAATTGTTTGTCTCTTTTTTCCTCAGTTTCCCTCTTTGCCATTAACTTGTCTTCTATGTCACTCACTCGTTCTTCCACCTCGTTAACCCTCGTCGTTAGGACTTCTAGTTTGGATTGCATCTCATTCAATTGATTTTTAATTTCTGCCTGATTGGATCTAAATTCTGCAGTCATGAAGTCTCGTGAGTCCTTAATGCTTTTTTCTAGAGCCACCAGTAGCTGTAGAATAGTGCTTCTGAATTGGCTTTCTGACATTGAAGTGTAATCCAGATTTTGTAACTCTGTGGGAGAGAGGGCTGTTTCTGATTCTTTCTTTTGAGGTGAGGTTTTCCTTCTAGTCATTTTGCTCAGTGCAGAGTGGCCAAAAACAAGTTGTATTGGAACACGGGGGAGTATCACTGGTCCGTCTAGCTGGTCTTCTGGGGGAGGGGCCTGCTGTGCTGATTCTCAGGTGTTAGCACTTGGGGGAGCTGCTCTGCCCCTGCCTGCTGCAGGGCTCAGCGGGGGTTGTTTACCCCGTGGGGCCCCAGGAGGATCAGCCGCAGTTGCTATGGCAACTCTGGAAGCCTGGATTCAGCCTCCGCAGATCGGGGCGCAGGAACTACGGGGCTCGGGGCTCTCGGTTCTCCGTCTGCAGGGCCTGGAGGCTCCGGGGCGGGGCCGCTGATCTGCTCAGCTCGGGGCAGGAGCGTCCTCGCTGTCCTGGGCCCTCCCGGCCTCTGCCTGTCCCGGGGGAGGCCGGATCCTGGGCTGTGTCCCGGCGCCCTGTGCTCCGGGGCCTGCGCTGTTGGATTCGCGCTCCCGCCCCGCAGCCCCCTCCCTGGAGCCGCTCCCGAGCCCCTCCGAGCTGCTCCGGCGTCCCGCCGTGCGCGCTGCAGCCCTTAGGGAGCTCGGCGCACTCTCCCGCGGGCGCAGGTGTCTGTTAGTGTCCCCGGGAGCCCGAGGGCATCCCCGCTCTCCTGGGTCCTGCTCCAACTCCCTGCGGGCCCCTTTCCGCCCCCGGGAAGGTTGGTGCAGCTCCTGCTCCTCCGGGACGGGGCTCTCCTGTCCTGGGGACACTCGCCCCGGCCTCAGCCCGGCTCCT